TCTTGGGTGTTTTTCTCCTCCCAAGACCTGTTCTCCCACATCTGACGGGCGGGACGAGAGACCTGAATTCTCGAGAGAAATCGGGGTCCACCTCCTTTTTTCAGGGGGGAACTAATCTGCCCAAAGGGGCTCCCAGCATCCTGAGCCCCCAAGCCGGTGAGTCCACTTTGGTTTGGCTGAAACAAGTCGTTGTTTCCGACGTGAGAAAGAGGATCGGGAAGCCCTGCGGCACCCCGCGTCTTGTGCCCCCCAAGGCCCCCTGGGGCTCCCTGCCTCGGCCTGCGCCCGCTGGTGGATTCTAGCCCGAGGTCACAGGGCCCCGTAGGGACGCCCGAGCACCCGCGGCGCTGAGGCCGCATCCGGGGCAGAGATCCCAGCGGCCCCCAGCACGCCCACCTAATGCCTCGGGCCCTAATGCCACAGAGCTCCCATTCCTGGGGAGGAGCTGGCCTCTCCAGGCAGGAGTGACCCCGAAGGCGACACTTCCCCCGTGTGCAGAGTCTCTCAGCAGGTGCCGGCCGGCGTCCCGGGAGGGCTTCCCCCCGGCGCCCTGTCCTGTGCGACCCTCCGCCTGGGGGGCTGGGGGGGTGTCTGGGGCTCCCGTGGGGCATCGGGGCTGGGCCCGGGGGGCCGGGGCGGGGGCGCCGGGTGCTCTGCTCTGAGCCAGGCCTTCCTCCCTCCGCAGCCGCCCCTCCCGGCCGCGCCCAGCGCCCGCCCTGCCAGAGCCCAGAGCTTTCCTTTTTCTCGTGCCTCGGGCTGCTTCCTGCCTTTCCTTTGAACTGGGGTGTTGGCTCGTCACACACTCACCCTCCTGGCAACCCCCCGGGACCGCCCTGTGATGGGCCGCCCCCCCAGGCGGCACTTAGGAACCGCTGCCCCCGCTTCCCTTCCCCCTCTGTGGCCCGTCCAGGTGGCACCCCCGCCACCCCGGCTCCCTGGAGGCTCCCTCCCGCGGCGGGCGGCCTCAGGGCTGCTGTCGCCCTGCCTCTCCCACTCTAGTTCTCCGAAATGTGCACACGGCGAGGTCCAGGACAGCTGGGGAGCTCGCATGACCGCAACTGGGGGACTGCCGATGGGAACTCATAGAGCCTGGGCCTCGGGAAGGCAGAGCCGGCCCAGCCTCCTAGAATCTTCCCGAACGGGAAACCGAGGCCCGGCCCAGGAGGGGTGGCCTCGAGGCCTGAGCGGCAGGCCTCTGTGCTTGTCCCCGCCTGGAGCCCAGCGGAGCGGGCGGGAGGAGCTGCCTGCTTCCACCACTGCCCACCTCCCGCCCCCGACGCCCCAGGCGGCACGGGCCGGCGGGGTTCCGGGGATGACCACTCGGGCCCCCTTGCCTGCCCTTCCTCCTCGTGCCCCCAACACACACAAGCACCATCCCCTCCCTTCCCAGGGCAGTGCTCCTCCTCCCCCCGAACACCAACGCCAGGACTTCCTCCTCCAGGAGGCCCTCCGTGGCCGACACTCCTTGGCCCCGGTCACCCTGGGAACCGCACTGGGGGGCACTGATTGAGCCCTCCCCACAGACCACACACCATGCCAAACCTTTACAGACATCACTTCGGAGAATCCACACGGCAGCCCTACGGTAGGTATGAGCTCCATTTACAGATGAGGAAACTGAGTCACAGAGCCACTGGGCCAGGTTCACAGGGCTCAGCGATGGGTCCTCGTCCCTGCTCGGCATGGCCGAGGCCGAGCTCTCAGCCCCCCGGCCCCCGCGCCCCGTGGCCCGCCTCCACCTGGACCCGGGGGGTGATGATGCTACGAATTCCCTGGAACCCACGCGCGCACCCGGCTGACCTTTCAAACAAACTCCGTGGTTTTCACGGGCCGCCCCGAGGGCAGCGAGCGGGGAGCCGGGCGGCCCGAGGCGCGGCCCCCTGGGTGGTGGACACGGGGGCTCCTAGCCCTCTCCTCCCGCCGCTCGGGCTCCTGCTCGGCTCCGGAAGCAAAAGGGGGAACACAGAGCAACTCGGCAGACTCCCTCAGGGGGACCCGGCACCGAGGCTTTGCCCTGTGGACGTGGACATGGGGGAGGAGACTGCAAGAGGCCTGAGGCCTCCGTGTCACCAGCAGACAGGACTGGCCCGGGGCCCCAGGGCTCCCGCGAGTGCCCAGAACAGGCCCTCCCCAGGCAGGAGGCCCGAACCCCGGCCAGGCCCACGGAGGCTCTGTTTGGGAGCAGACTAACAAGGAGCGGGACGTAAAAGGCGTAAAAGACAAAAGACAGTGGGTATTTGGGTATTTGTGGTCCGTCCTCCCGACCTTGATCAAACAGGGCGGGCGTCGGCCCGAGGAATCACGGTTTGGGGAAGGCTAGCAGTTGGGAATGAAGAGAACTTTCTGGTGTTCGCTGGAACCAAGACGGCGGGAGGGAGAGGGGTGCGCACCGTGCAAGGCGACGGCTTCGAGGCGGGACTGTCCCCTTCCCGGGGCGGGGAAGCAGACAAGAAGCGAGAAGCCAGTTTTCCCCGGGGCAGGCCTAGGACTCCCAGGACCTTCGCAGTCCGCCTGGGGTTCAACCTGCGGCTCCCGGTAAGATCCCCAGGGACCTGCGGCCTGCGTCTCCCTGGGTACCCGACGGCTTTAACCTCACCTTTCACCTTGTCAACACCCCCCACCCTGCGCCGTCGGGAAGACTAACGTGTCCACTGCCTTGCCACCCCCACCGTCAACCGGCTCCTCGGACCCCAGGCCCCCGGAACAGCCAACGTTGACCCAGACCAGCGCCTGCAGATGATCCCTCGCACACGCCCCTCTTTTCCCACGACAGTCCATTCCCTTGAGTTATTTCTCTTTTCAAGATTACGCATTTATTTATTTATTTAAGAAAAAGAGTGAGCAGGGAGGTGGGTGATGGGGGAGGAGCAAAGGCAGAGGGACAAGAAGGCTCCAGGCTGAGCGCGGAGCCCGAGGCGGTCTCCTTCCCAGGGTCTGAGGTCCTGACCTGAGCTGGAATCAAGAGTCAGATGCTCCGCCGACGCCCACGGAGCCCCCCAGGCGCCCCTCCCTTGAGTTCTGCATCACCCCCGACTCCGTCTCCCTCCCGTGGGAAGTGTCCTTGGAGCTGACGCCCACTTCTGAACGCCCAGCAGCAGGCGACAGGGTTAACAGCCCCGTGGGTCAGGCACTGCTGGGGACGTCGTGCGCGCACGTTGTCTCATCTAACCCTCTCTGCGCCCCGCTTCTCTCCACACCCAGATGACAAACCCGAGGCTCCAGGAGCTCCTAGACCCAGTTAGTGGCAAAGCAGGGAAGGAGCTGGGGTTTGGGGCCCAGGGCGGGGACACGGCTCTCCCCCAGCTCCCTCTGGCCTTCCAGAGCCCACTGCTAAGTCGTCCACATTGCCCGGGGACCCTACTCCGTCTCCTCCCCTCTCCCACTCTCTGAAGCACACCCTGAGCCTCGGGAGAGCCTCTCTAGTCCCACGGAGACATGCGACAAGCTCAGAGAGCACCACCTCTACTGGACCCAAATGCAGGCCTCCCAGCTCCAGGGAACAAGGTGACGGAATGTCTTGCATCGGCACGGATGGTGGGACGCCTGGATTGCACAGGTGGCATCGCGCCTCTCCTTCCCCAGTTTCTTCCAGAGAGGGGGTCAGTCTGGAAAGACGGCGCTGAGAGAGGTTGGAGCAACTGCTTTCGCAAAGGCCCCTTCAACCCAGGAAAGGGACCTCCCCCCCCGCCCCCCCCCGCGCCGCTGGAGAAACACCCTACAGAGGCCATCTGCAAACTCCTTGCAGCCCCAGAGCCCCGTCTTCACGTGCAGCAGTGTCACACACACCCCAATACACAAAATGGCTAAAAGCGGGGCCACCCTAGCTCTAGCAGGCATGGGGGCCAGAGCCAGCGTCCTCACCGCCCCCAGTGTTTGCTCCTGCCTTCACCCCCCGGGCTGTGAAGGAGTCACTTTGCCCGTCTCGAATATGGGCACGATTTTCTCCTCTCACTCTGTGCCCCGGTCCCCAGACTGCGCCTCTCCAAGTGGAGAGGTGCTTCCGACTAGGGGCAGGGCTGGGAGGGGAGCTCCAGGAGGGGTTGCTGGGCCTCCCCTGCGGGGAAGGACCCTCCACACGCCGCCAGGACGCCACCCCAACTGACTGCCCTCATCCCATTGAGCTCAACAAACGCTTGGTCCCTGAGTTTCCCACCCCAACTCCCCTGAGAAAAGGTGAAGGAGCCTGGGCAGGGCTGGGGGGCAGGCTTCCTCCCCGGAGCAGGGGTGGGGGTGGAGGTAGGTGGTCTGGAGGGTGCTCCCACAGCCTCCTCCTGCCCCCGGGGGGGAGCAGGCAATGCCCCCAGCCCTCCACCTCTGAGCCTTCCTGGGGCAGCTGCCCCCTAGGGTCCCCTTCACGTGCCATCTCACCCCAACTCAGCTCTAAAAATGGTTCTCTGGTTTTCAGCCTGGGAGCCTGCCCACAAATTAGTGTCTCCAACACGGCCTCTTGGGACATGACTTCAGCGAGGCCCCTGGGGGAGCCAGGAGGCCGCAGCAGAGGGAGCTGGTGCCCGCACGGGCGCTTCTGGAGGAGCCCAGAGGGAGCAGGCTCCTCTCCCACTTTGGGATCCCCCTGTGCGACAGCTGTGCTCTCCTTCCCGAGGCAGGGGGCCGGGCGGTCTGCACCCCCTGGGCACCCCCCCTCCCCTCCCCTCTGCCGGAATCAGTGGGCTTTGCGCTCAGCCAGGTCCTGGGCACTGCCCGGTGGCGGTGAGAAAGCAGCAGCAGGAGGGCCAGCCAGCCCCGGGGGAGGGGGTGCCCTCCAGCCCCAGGGTCCCGACGCCCACCTCTTGCCCGGCCTGCACTCCCACAGGAGCCGCGGGGAGACCCAGGGCAGCCCAGCCCGCACCCCCGCCTGCTGCAGCCGCAGCCACAGCCCGCGGGCAGCCGGGAGCCGGGAGCCCTCCCCGACGCTGGGGCCTCCGGCACAGCCCGGCAGGTGCCTGAGCCCCAGGGCGGGGGCGGGGGGGGGGGGGACGGGAGGGCCGGGCGGTACTCACAGGTAAGCCGTCAGGGGGTCCAGGTCCCGGGGCACGGCGGACAGCCCACGCTCCGAGCAGTCGGCCGACAGCATGATGCCGTCCTCCTGGCAGTGGCAGGGCGCAGGGCAGGCGGGCACGGCGCGGGGCTGGGGGGCGCCCGCCGGGGGGGAGGCGCACAGCGCGGCGCACAGCCACAGCGCCCCGAGGCCGGCCGGGCTGCGCATCGCGGCGGCGAGCACCTGCGGCGGGCACCTGCGGCGGGCACCTGGCGGCGGGCACCTGGTGGAGGGCACCTGGCGGCGGGCACCTGCGGCGGGCGGCGGGTGGGCCGGGCCGTCAGCGAGGGGCAGGCATTGTTGAGTGATCTTCGCTGAGAGCCGCACCAAGAGCCGCACGGCCGGGCCTGGCAGGGGAGGGAGACAGGGGAGGAGGAGTCAAGGAAACTTTCTGCGCTGTGGCTCGCTCCCCTTCCCTCCTTCCTTCCGAGCTGGCAGGAATTTCATCCAGGAAAGAAAAAAAAAAAAGGCCCAGAAACACTAAGAGCCGCGGAGGCAGCGCGCAGGGACCTGCACTTGCTCCTGTCGGGAAACCAGGTGGTGCCCGGGGCCCAGGCGCGCCCGGGACCCTGCCGCCCGTGGGGTCAGCCCCCAGTCCCACGGGACCTGCAGGGCACCCCCCCAGCAGCCTTGAGGGCCCCACGGCCGCCCCCCTCCACCTCCGGCTGCGCGGAGTCCCCAGAGGGGAGTGAAGTGTCCAAGGTCACGTGGCTGAGGCCCAGCCCCGGGTCGGGGATTCGGGGTCTGTCCTGTCACCGTGTGTCCTGCAGGGGGTCAGGCGGTGAGAGGCGCACCGCGTGCAGGGGGGTGGTGGGCGATGAGGGGGGCCTCCTCCCCGAGCACAGGCCTGCCCCCAAGGAGACGGGACACGGAGGGTGCTGGCCGAGCCCGCTGGGGTCTGAGGCCCTGGAGCACCTCGGTGTGCCCCCGGGACCAGCTGCGTAGACCGACGGGGACCCAGCCGCCGGGCCGCTCCCCGCTCCCCGAAAGTCGGCGGGCTGGCGCCACCTGCAGCCCGGCTGGGCAGCTGCAGCCCAAGGTCCTGCGGTCAGTCCCAGGGCCTGGGGGGCCGGTCCCCTCTCCTCAGTGCAGATGGGGCCGCCTGGGCCTCGGCCCGTCGCCTTCCACAGTGAGCCAAGGCCCGGCTGAGCTAGCGCCTGCCCGGTCGGCCTTGGTCGGTCCCCCCAGGGGGGCTCTGACCTCCCGCCCTCCCTCCAGAACCTGTACCCAAAGCCCGGAGGCCTCAGAGGCAGCGTGATTCCCCCCACCCCGCCCTCCGCACCCCCATGACTCACATGGCGACCCCGCTCCTCGCTCCTGCCCCCCCACCCCCGGCCCAGGCCTCGGGGCTGCACAGCTCCCCACCCCGACCCGAAGCTCCACTTGGGGCCGGGCCCTGACGCCGATGAGCCGCCCAGGAAGGCCAGAGAAGACCAGAGATGATCCTGGCTCCCGCCACCGGACAGACCCACGGATGCCCGCCGGCCCTGCTTCCGGCCTCACTCCTCCCGAGCGTGGCTCCATTCCGCTGCTCCCGTGCGAGGGGCCAGGACTGCAAAGACCACTGTTGAGGCCCGTGTCAACCTCCGCAGCTGCCCTCGTGGCGGGCTTGGGGCGCTCAGGGCTAGTGTCCAGCCAGCTGGACCGTCACCGTGGGGCTAACCTCTGGGACTCCCCATGAGCACAGCTTAGAAGAGGACGTGATGTCCATACCCCCTGGGGGGGCACCAGAGAAGGCTCCGAGGGGGCAGGGAGCCCCGCCTCCGTGCCCCTTCTCCAACCAGGCCTGAGAAAGGCCTCTCGGGCCTTGGCCCCTTGCGCTCTACCAGGAATGCGGGTTGGCCAGTGGGACCTCCGCCTTCCCTTCCCATTTGGGGACCTACCCGCCTTTCGGGCCTCCTGCTCTGATTTGCCCAGGCCCTCTCTGTGCCCCCACGCACCCCCAGGGTCCTGCGCAGGGACCACTGGTGTCCAGCATCAGGCTCCTTGCCATCCCAAATCGTGCAGCCGGGTCAGGGAGTCAGGCAGGAGCGCCGAGGCCGTGTCGTGTCACGCGGTGCAGGGTTCACCGACGTGAGTGCCACCGGCTGCTTTCTCCTGGGTCCTCACCCCCTCCTGTTTCCGGTTTCTCCTGGTTTTTCTCACCTCCCAAATTCCCTGCTGCTCTCCCCCTCCCTCCCTCCCTCCCTCCTATGGCGGAGGGCACGAGGTGGGGAGCCGAGGAGCAGAGAAGACTTGGCAGCTGTGCCCGAGGAGCAGCCTCCCACGAAGTGACAAAGCCCCTGGTCTCTCCTGTGTCCGGTGCGGTGTGGCTGCAGCGCCAGCAGCCCCGCGGGGAACCCCGGGGACACTGGCAGGTAGACACGGCTGGGGATGGCAGGAGAAGGGAAGAGGGTGGGGCAGGGGAACCCTGAGCAACTGGAGCTCTGAAGCTGGGGCCCCCAAGACACGAGAGACCTGAGTCTAAGGCCACTGGAAAACTGGAAGATGGGGTGCTGGGGGCTGCTCCCCAGGAAAGCCGTCAGCACGGGGGCCTGAGCCGGCCACCCCGGCCACACCCCACCCTGCTCAGGGCTGCCTGCCGACCGGGACCTTGCACCGCGCCCCATGTCCTGCACGTCCTGGAGGCCGCTTCCTTCCTCCCGGGAGGGTGGACGCACGGAACACACTCAGCCTCAGCCTCGACCACGCTCTTTATTCCTCACTTCGGGCCCTGCCCGGCACGGAGCCCGGCGTGCAGGCTGCCCCCCCGGGAAGCCGGGCCCCGGAAGGCTTGCCGAGGCCGCCCGTCCCCGCACGCCGGGCCCAGACCTCTGCTGCTCCCGCGCAGCACGGCGACCAGCGCCGACTCAAGGCAGCCCGTCCCGGAGCGCGCTGTTCAGACAGTGGTAGAGGTCCATGTACTGCTCCTGGGGGGGACGCGGGGTCAGGAGCTGCGCCTGCCTCCTAGAACCTTCCCTGCCACCTCCTCCCACCCCGTGTCCCTGCCCACCACCAAGCCCTGGTGGCCACTCACCAGCGTTGGCGTCATGAGGCCACAGGCCTGTGACTGCTGCAAGACCACACTGAAAACGTCCACGGTGCACTCCGCGCCCGCCTGCTGCAGCAGCTGGTCCAGGGCCAGGAAAGTGCCCAGCTGGGCCACACCCCTGCTGCAATTGACCTCGAGTTGGATGGGGTGCCAGGGCGGGCGGGGGGCAGAAGGGCAGAGGAGGCTGGGGTACACAGATATATGGGGACACCAGGCACCTGGCGAGCCTGGGAGTGGGGGGGTAAATCCCTAAAAGATGTCATATGGCCAGAAGCCATCAGGGCAGAGCGAGGAGGAAGGTGGGAGCCCTGGGCAACTGTGTCCTTTTGCTCCATGACCCAAGCTGGGCTCAGTGGGCAGTGAGGGGCGCGGGCACCCACTCCCCCAGCCCTTGTCCAGCAGCACCTGCAGTGGCTGAGCAGGGTCCCCGGCTTCGTCCTGTCCCGAGAGCAGCACTGGCCCACGGCAGCCAGGAAGGGCAGCAGGGTGGTGGCAGGGAGCTCACGCCCCGGCTCCCAGCACGGGAACAGCAGTCTCTGCACCTGCCTCTCCTTCCCGCTCTCCCCCTGGGTGCAAAGACACTGGCGCTGGTGCAGGGAGGAGCAGCGGGACGACCGGCCACACAGCCCCCGCCCCCACGCTGTGGCCCCAACACCTACGTGCGTGACCCTCAGGAGGGTGCAGGGCCAGCCCGCTGTGACGCTCTCCGCCACCCACTGCACCGTCACTGTGTCTGTGACAATGGGCTGCGTCTCCGAGGGCCAGGACTGCTGTGAGCCGGACGTGGGGGTGCTCAGGCGGCTCTCCAAGCTCCCTGCCTGCGCGGTCCCCTGCCCCGCCCCCATACCTGAGCCCTCCCGCCCTCTGCCCCCCTCACCTGCTCCCAGGTGTCGGGCGGGCACAAGGAGACCAGCACATGGGCTCCGTGCTCCCACACCAGCTCCCAGAGCTCCTCGGGCCCCGCGGGGCCGGTCACCACAACGTGGTCGTGGCCGGAAGGGCCGCCCTGCAGAGCACAGCCCGTTGGCTCCCAGGAACTGAGGGTGCCCCCTGCACGGCGCAGCTCCAGGGCCCCCAGAGCTCCCGCCCAAGAAGCTCCAATGATGGGGCAGGGGCAAGGACAGGGCAGTGTCTCACAGGGAAGAGCCAGGCTTCCAGCATCTCGCTAGTGGGGCTTTCCTTGGCTGGGGAAAACCGCAGGTGGGAACAGTCACCTGAGGGGACGCAAGGGGGTGAGGCTGTGGGAGCTGTGCCCAGGCCAGGTGTCCCCCCCAGGCCAGGTACCCCCCATTCACACTGCCCCCCTCCAGGCATGCTACCCCCCAGGCCCACTGCCCCCCCAGCCCGGGTGTTCCCCAGGCATGCTACCCCCCTGGCACACTGCCCCCCCAGCCCAGGTGTCCCCCAGGCATGCTACCCCCCTGGCACACTGCTCCCACTCCAGGCATGCTGCCCCCCCAGGCCCGCTGCCCCCAGGCCCACTGCCCCCCCAACCTGGGTGTCCCCCAGGCATGCTACCCCCTAGGCACACTGCTCCCACTCCAGGCATGCTGCCCCCCCAGGCCCACTGCCCCCAGGCCCACTGCCCCCCCAGCCTGGGTGTCCCCCAAGCATGCTACCCCCCAGGCCCACTGCCCCCCCAGCCCAGGTGTCCCCCAGGCATGTTACCCCCCTGGCACACTGCTCCCACTCCAGGCATGCTGCCCCCCCCAGGCCCACTGCCCCCCCAGCCCAGGTGTCCTCCAGGCATGCTACCCCCCAGGCACACTGCTCCCACTCCAGGCATGCTGCCCCCCCAGGCCCTCTGCCCCCCAGGCCCACTGCCCCCCCAGCCTGGGTGCCCCCCAGGCATGCTACCCCCCAGGCACACTGCTCCCACTCCAGGCATGCTGCCCCCCCCAGGCCCGCTGCCCCCCAGGCCCCCTGACCCCCTCTGGCGGCGGGGCGCTCACGCGGCACCGTGCTGTGCTGCTCGCGGCCGGCAGGGGGCGCGGGAGAGTCGGCGTCGTCCCGGAGGGCGCGCTGCAGGAGCTGGGGGCGCGGGCGGCCGTGAGCGGGGGCGGGGCGGGGACGCGGACGGGGACGGGGGCGGGGACGGGGGCGGGGACGCGGACGCGGACGCGGACGGGGACGGGGGCGGGGACGCGGACGGGCGGGGGACGGGGGACGGGGCGGACGCGGGGGACGGGGACGGGGGCGGGGACGCGGACGGGGGGGGGGGGACGGGGACGGGGGCGGGGACGCGGACGGGGACGGGGGCGGGGACGCAGACGGGGACGGGGACGGGGACGGGGGCTCCCGCCCTGGGGTCCCCGCCCCGCGCCCGCCCCGCGCGCACCGCGTACTCCCGCAGGAAGCCGGCGTTGGCGTGGGCGGCCCCCCGCGCGCAGGCCTCGGCCAAGCGGCTCACGGCGATGGGCTGCGACCCGGGGGCGCGGGCGGCGGGCGGCGCGCTGGGGGCTCCGCGGCTCCCGCTCGCCGTCCCGTCGGCCCCGGCCCTGCACACCGCGGGGCGTCGGTGGGGGGGAGGGCACGGCCGGCGCCCCCGCCCGCGGGACCCCGGGGCGGCCGCTCACTCGGACGGCTCCGGCGGCCCTTCCACGGCCTTGCGCAGGAGGCAGCGGTGCAGGAACACGTACTGGCTCTGCAGGGGGGAGGCGGGCAGGGGGGAGGCGGGGGCCGCTCAGGGGTGCGCCCAAGGGAGGCCCGGCGCACCAGCCCCGCCCCGCCGCGCCCCTCCGCGCCCCGCCCCCCCCGCCCCCACCCCTGCTCACCGGGGTCTGGATCATGAGCGGCCGGTGCAGCCGCAGCGCGTACACCGCGTGGAACACGTCCGCCGCGCGCTCCTCCTGCAGCTGCTGGAGCAGCCGCCACAGGGCCACGAAGGTGCCGGTGCGGCCCACGCCCGCGCTGCGGGGAAGCGGGCGCCGTGTCCGCGGGGGGCGGGGGGCGGGGCCCTGAGCCCGTCCCCCTCCCGCCCCCTCCCGCCCCCTCCCGCCCCGCGCCCGTCCCCCTCCCGCCCCCTCCCGCCCCGCCCGCCCCGCCCCACCTGCAGTGCACCAGCACCGGGCCGAGGCCCCGCGTGGCCCGCGCCCGCTCCCGGGCCAGCTGGACGAAGGCGAGCAGGGCGCCGGGGGCCTCGGGGACGCCGTGGTCGGGCCACGCGGTGAAGTGCAGCTGCGTCACCGTCCGCGGCTGCCGCTGGGCCCGCTGAGCCGGCGGCAGGAGCAGGGGCCTGACCTGGGGCCGACCCCGGGGCCTGCCTGCGCTCGGCCCAGCCTCTTCCCGGTCCTCCCCGCTCCCTCCAGGGCGTGCACCCGAAGCCCCAGGCCTCAGAGGCCGTGATCCCCCCCCCCCGCCCTCTGCACCCCCAGGACTCCCGCCGCGCCCCACTCCCCGCTCCTGCCCCCGCCAGGCCTCGGGGTGCACGGCTGGGCCAAGACGCCCCCACCCCCCCACCCCCGGGGCTCCACTTGGGGCCGGGCCCTGACGCCCTGAGCCGCCCAGGAAGGCCAGGACGGTCACCGCCCCCTGCGCAGGGGCCACTCCGCGCTGCAGCCCCGCGGGGAGTCTGGCCTGGGGCCGGGCACGGGGGCGAGGCGGGTCCCTGGCTCTCCTGCCCCGGTGAGCGGTTGTGCCCACCCAGCAGGGCCGAGACCACGAGGGCTGCGGGGAAGCTGCCTCAGGGCTCTACGCTTCACCCGGATAAAACTAACGTCCCCGCGGCCCCCCTGCCCTCCCTGCCCGACTCCTCAGGGCGCGGCTGTGAGCCAGCAGTTCTCGGAAGGCCCCAGGCCAGGGCACCCAGAGTGTCCCCCCCACCCATCCCCCCCGGGCACGCACGTGCTGCAGCTGGAATTCCCGCTTGGTCCACTCGTCCTCGGGCTCCTCGGCCAGCAGGTGGACCGTGATGTGGCCGTGGGTGACGGGGGTGGAGCCCACGGGCCAGTAATGCTCACACAGCACCTAGGGCCAGAGGCACGGAGCAGAGGGGTGGCTGTGGGCCCTCGCCTGGTCACTGCCACCCTCTGGTTTACCGGGACCACCCTTCCCAGCCAGCTTTCCGGTCTCTGCCACCTGCTGAAGTCCTGCTCTCGGCACCAAGCCAGCTCCGCGCTGCCTCATCCAGAAGCCCCTCTCCTCCGCTGGCCCCGGCACCATCACCCCCACACCTGCCGTATGACCCGTGGGGTCCCAGGCAGCTGCTGGGCTCCTTTGCAAAACTGGGCGGCTCTATTTAGGGCTGCGTGGCCTCGCCGCAGCGCGCCAGCTGGAGGACAGACCCGGCAGGGGCTCTCTCTGCCCAGGGCCCCACATCGCACAGCGCACGGAGGAGACGTCCCCCGGGCTCGTTGGCGACAGCGTGCAGAACGTCCTCTCTCTGCTGCCCGCCCCGCGGCCGGCCATGCCCCGTTCTCCTAACCCCCTTGCCCGCCTCTGCCTACAGCGAGAGCACGTGGACACACTGAGCGACGGCAGAGGTCAGAGGACACAGAGTCAACCTGGGAGCTTGAGTGCCAGTCCCTGCCCCGGTGGCCCCGGGGACCCCACCCGCCTCCGGGCCTCTCCCGCCTGGCCGCCTTCGCAGACCGGGCTGCACGTGTGCCACCTGGTGGCCAAGCCGCAGGGCCCGCTCACCCGGCCGTTCTCCATGCCCACTGTCAGCATGACGATGACGTGGACCTGCTGCTCCCACACCAGCCGCCAGAAGTCCTCCACGGTCTTCTTGAGAGGCCCCTGGGTGGCAATAAACTCCTGCGGGTCGGTGTAGCCCTGTGGGCGGAAGACGGGGACATGCTGATTGGGGACACCTTGGTCCCCAGGCCCCACCGAGCACACGGCAGTAAACGTCCCTTGAACGACGTGCAGGAGTGAGGGTGCTGTGCCCACACCGTGCAAACGCAGGAGCACCGGGCGCTCAAGCCAGGAGGGTGGCTGCACAGACGCCACCGCCGCCACGGCCGCCGTCCCGGCACGACCCTGGAGGGCCCAGAAACCCCTCCGCGGGAATAACAAGGTCCTAACGTGCAGCGTTCCCAGCGCAACCTCCTCACCAGCCCTTCTCAGTCCAAACTCCGTGTTTCTTCGTGTTTCTTCCGTCCTCAGAAACCTTCGCCACACCCAGACCCTCCCACCCGTGTCCTCCGGCTGTCCTTTCCGCCCTACACCCTTCCCCTCTTCCATCTCTTATCAGAACTGCGCATCCTTCAAGAGATTACGTGTCCCTTCCTCCCGGAAGCCCTTCTTGATTCGCCAGGTAGGCTTCCTCTCTCCTTCCACGCTTGTGCCCTCGGCATGGCGCTTGTCACGCTGAGTGGTACGTGTGACACACACATGCGTGAACGCGTGGGCACACCCGCGCACACACGGCGGGCTCCCTCGAGGGCGAGGCTGCGGGTCAGCAGCGCCAGGGCCCGGCGCACGCGAGGCCCTCCACGAAGGGCTCGGCCCCCAGGCACACACGCCCACAGACGGCCCCGCAGGTGGCCCTTACCGGGATGAAGCTGGCGTTGATGTAGTCGGAGTGGGGCTCCCCGTCCAGCTGGCTCAGCCTGACCCGGGAGTGGTCATCTGCGGGGGAAGCTGTGCGCTCGGTGCCCGGGCCAGGCCAAGCCCCGCGCCCCTGCCCAGCCCGGCGCCCGGCGCTCACAGGGCAGCACGTGCGGGTAGCGGTTCTTGGTGGCATTGGCAGGGTGCTCGGCCTCCAGCCTGGGCTGCTCCTTGCCCACCTCCTTCAGCTCCTGCGGAGATCGGGGCGGCTGGGTGCTGAGGCCCACCCACCTCTCCCCGCGGCAGGGCCTCGGGGCCCGGCTCCTCTCGCCCCGAGCTCAGGGCCGCAGAGGCCTCACCTCGAACTCCTGAAAGAAAGCCTGGTGAGCGTGGGCGCTCTTGGCCTCGTAGCTCTGCCGGAAGCTCTGGATGGGGATGGGCCGGTGGGTCCGCCTGGCGGGAGAGGGAGGAGGTGGGCCTGGGGGGCCGGGGGCCCCGGGGAACAGCCCGCCCTGAGCTGGGGGACAGAGCATGGCCTCGGCCCTGGTGCCACCCCCCCCCACGTGCACCCGTGGCCACGCCCAGCCCTGCAGGGTCACAGGGGCTCCCGGGGGTGCGGCCGAGGCGGGCAGCCGCGCTCACCGCAGGTTGTAAGGGGTCAGCTCTTGGGAAAACCGATTCTTGTCCGCCCTGCGGAGGACGAAGAGGCGTGTGGGAGGAGCCCGGCCGCGGCGGGGACCTCGTGGGGCGGCAGCCGTCCCCCCACTCACCTCCGGGCCTTCGCCCTCCACCAGCACAGCAGGCCCAGCGCGGCGGCGCCGAGGCAGCAGCCCGCCAGGAGGCCCACGGCCGCGGGCAGGGGCACGGCCGCCCTGGAGATGCCTGCGCGGGGCTCTGTGGACGCAAACGGGGGCTGTCGGGCCGCGTCCCTCCACCCGCGGTCGCTGTCCCCTGGGGCCGCACGGTCACCGCCCACCTCCGCAGCCCCATATCCCAGCCCAAGGCCGGAGGCCGGCAGTGGACGCCAGCAAGGTCGCCCCACAGGGCACCGGGAGCCCCGGTCCCCGGCCTGCCTCCAGGGGACCCCAAACGCTCCCCCCGATACCCCCAGGGCGGGCCGGGCCCTGGTGCCCTGGACCGTCTCCAACCACACCGTCCAGTCGGGCAGCTGCTAGCCGCGGGAGCCACTGGGTGCCTGAACCGCCACTGCAGGAGGTAAGATTTGCCGTAAGGAGCTCAAAGAGGGGTGCCCGGGGGCTCCGGGGTCCGGCGTCTGCCTTCGGCCCAGGGCGTGCCCCCAGGGTCCTGGGATCGAGTCCTGCACCGGGCTCCCCGCAGGGAGCCTGCTTCTCCCTCTGCCTGGGTCTCTGCCCCTCTCTGTGTCTCTCAGGAATAAATAAAATCTTTAAAAAAATTTTTTTTCAAAAAAAGGATTTCAAAGACTTAGTAATACAAAATAATGTAAAGTATCTCGTTAATAATTCTTAAGATTGGTCGCGTGTGGGCATGACAATGTGCTTACTGTCTCAGTCTAATAAAACGTGAGAGAAATTCATGTCGCCTGTTCACTTTCGCCCGCGGGCCGTAGCTCCCCCCCCCCCCAAGGAACCTGAGGACCGGACGGTGCACGCTCGCGGCTTGCTCCTGCCTCCCTGGACGGTGCCGTTGCAGAGCCTCGGTGGCCCGGGAGCCGCGGCCCGTTGCAGGGCCACGCAGGAAGGTAGGGCGATCGTGGAGGGACCAAGCCCGAACCCCTCGGCCTCTGCCCGCCCGGGCCGCGCCTGGTGCCCGGAGCACCTGTGTCACTGGCCCTGGGTCCCCGGCTCCGCCGGGCAGGACACGCTCCCTCCCTGGAGCCCAAGCTCAGTCCCTCCTGCTGCTGGTCGGGGCTGAGCCCCAGAAGGCGGGCGGGCAGTTGCGGCAGCACCCTTGCCCTCCCCGGGGCCCACCGGAGCCCTCGCCAGTGCCCACCTACCCGAGAAGGCGGAGAAGGAGAGGATGGTGTCGGGAGGGCTGCGTCTGGTAAAGGCCACAACGCTGAACCTGCGGCAGCGACACCGGAGCCTCTGCTGGGGAGGGCGGGGAGGAAGGCAAAGTCCCTTCCAAACCACGGGGTCCCGGGCGGTGGACACTCGAGTAGTGACCGCCCCTCGCCTGTTGAGGGGCCACGTGCCACGTACCCCCGACTGCACAACCGGCCGCCCCTGACTCCCCCAGCTCTTGCCCTTCCGGACGGCAAGAGGCCCCCGAAGCAGGTGCCCACACGCCGAGGCAAGCTGAGACGGAGTCCGTCCCCACCCGCCCCGGCCTGGTGTTTTTCCCCCTCACAAAAGACCCACGTAGCAGACGGGCGCTCCCTGTCTGCCTCGCCCCCGGGAGGCTCAGTCAGGGACCCTGCGGACCTCACGGACCGGCAGACGCATCTGTGGAGCCGATGTGCCAACAGCCCGTACTCCCGGGAGACTCCCAACGGCTTCGCCCTCCCTCCGGTCTCAGCCCTCACCGGTACCGGGAACCTGGCTTGAGCTGCCCGTTGCATATCCCCCGGGTCCGGCCGCAGTCCTCTGTGCCCACAGGCACCGTCCAGGATCTCGGCACGGCCCAGGGCCCCGGGTAGAAGGGGTTGGGGAGCAGGGCGGCCAGGTAGGAGTCCCGTCCTCCGTAGTAGTGGTCGTGCCACGTGTGGTTCAGGGCTTCCCGGGGCGGCCGACCCACTGCAGGGGAACAGGACGGGCCGGCGCAGATCGGCGGGCGGGCTGCGGCCTCGCTCCCCCGTTTCTCCCGCGGATGCCCAGCAGGCGTCGTGCCGCATCGGCCCCGTCTTCGAGAATGTTCCTGCTGCAGCGCTCAGGCTAGCCTCAGACATCTCGTCCTGCCGCTCCAGCGTGTGCAGCCCCCTCGCCCGTCCCACGCCAGGCAGGAGCCAGGGTGACCCCGTCCCCTCCGTCCCGGGACTCACGTGACAGGTTGGTGGTAGCGATGACGCCGTACCACTGAATCTGCCCGTCGTCCTTGCCAAACATCCCCCGTGTGATGAGCACGCCCATCCCCGCCTCGGGCTCCAGCTGGGGGGCTGCAGCTAAGTCCGGGGGGTGCCAGCCTGGGGACGGACGGGGCAGAGCCAGGGCCTAACCAGGAGCCAGCGGCCAAGGGCAGGTCACGTCCCTAGCACCTGTCACGATGCCTGGCAACCAGTGCCTGACGGGGACGAGGAAGGAAGAACCGGGACCCCCCACCCCCGGGGCCAGGGTGCCGGGCACAGGCTCAACGGCGTGCTGTGTGGATCAGGGCCAAAGCAAGGCTTGGGGGGACGGGGGAGCAACCCCCCAGTGGGCAGTGCTGGGGGAAGGCCCAGGGCGGCTCCGGAGGCCACGAAAGCGCTCACCCTCCGCAGAGGTGGCGCACAGCAGGGTGACCCCACGGCTGCGCAGACCGTTCCTGCCCAGCACGGTGAGGCCGAGGCGGTAGGACGTGGCAGGCAGCAGGCCGGGCAAGAGGAGAGCGTCCCCGGAGGTGCTGGCCTGGAAGACGAGGTGGGCGCGCCCCCCCACGGCCAGCTGCTCCGCCACCACCACACAGCTGTCCACGTCCCCCGCGGGCACCGTCCAGGTCAGGGCCAGGCCAGTGGCCTCGGGCTCACACTGCACATCCTCCACGGGGCCGGGCTCTGCGGGAATCAGAGATTCCTCACTGTGTGGGTGTCAGGACACCCCAAGAGGCTGGCGCTGGGGCAAAGGGGTGGGGCGCTGGCCCTTCGGACACACGACGCCCCCTCTGGCCCCGAGCACCCCTCTGGAGGAGCACGGGCAGCAGGGGCGGGAAGGCGCCCAGCGGGAGGGGCAGGGGCTCCACGCGGCGCAGGCAGCGCTGTGGCCTGGCCTCGGGCCTGCCCCCGGGGCTCCTGCATCCCCCCCCACAACACACAGCCACGTACCCACAGGCAGCACCACCGGGTGGGTGGCCGCCCGCAGCGGCCCCGCCTGGCACAGCACTGACAGGGAGAGATTGCGTCCAGGGGTGAGGTCCCTGAGCACCAGGCGGGCCTGGCCGAGCACCAGGGGCTGCGCCCAGGGGAGGCGCCCGGCCTCCGAGAGCTGGGCATGGCACGCCCCGTGCCCCAAGGGGCCGCTGGCCCAGGCCAGGGTGATTACGGCGCTGCCCGCCTGCATGGACACCAGCAGCTCGTTGGGCAGAAGCGGAGCTGTGGACGGAAGGGGAGCGGGTGAACCGGCGCGGGAGGCCAGGGGGCACCGACCGGGTGGGGCGAGACTGGAGGGGGCTGGGGGTGCATGGAGGCGGGGTTGGCAGGTGGACCTAAGGAGGGCCGGGGTCTGGGGTCTCTGCAGCCCCCACTCACAGGTCCAGCCCGAGGCAGTGGTGGCCGCCGAGAGGAGGAGCCCAGCCCGGGCGACGACCTCCACGTCGTACCGAGTGCCCGGGGCCAGCGCCGAGAAGCTGGTGCCACCCACCCCCGCCGCCAGGGTCCTGGAGCCCGCCAGGGCCCCCCCCAGGTACAGCGTCACCTGGTAGCCGTCGTGCACCCCGGGCGCAGGGACCCAGGACGCCCGGAGCTCGGTGGGGCCTTCGGTGGTCACGTGCACCAGGGGAGGGGCGCGGGGGGCTGCGGGGAGAGCCAGGTATGGCAAGGCTGAGCGGAAGGGAGGTGTTAGGGGCCGAACTCCGTGCCCCCGCAAATTCACCAAATTCACCCTGCCAGAGGGGGCGGTGGCCCCAGGTGGGCCAGGGTCTCCCTGCAAGAGCAGCGACAGCAGCGCACAAGCTCACCCAGCATCGCACTCACCAGTTACTCCCCCTCCACCCCCCACCACCCCTGTGGGAGGCAGGGGCTGCCCCCCGCTGCTCCCGACTTAAACCCACTGCGTCTTCCAGCCCCAGGCCCTGTAGGCTGCTGCTTCTAAAGGCCCCCACGTGGGGCACCTAGGGGGCTCAGGGCATGACCCCGGGGGCCCGGGATCGAGTCCTGCATCGGGCTCCCCGTAGGGAGCCTGCTTCTCCCTCTGCCTCGGTTTCTGCCTTCCTCTCTGGCTCTCAGGAATAAATAAAGTTTTCAGAAAATAATAATAAATAAAGGCCCCCACGTGACGGGCAGGTCCTTAAGGGCAGGCACTGTCTGGGGCCCCTTCACCCTCAGCTGGAGCCTGGGCCCTGGAGTCACAGAAGCCTGGCCCAGTCATCGAGTCAACATCTCCTTTGCAAGTGGGGGAAACTGAGGCTCAGAGGCTCGCTCTGGAGACTGAGCCTCGGCTAGCACCCGGGTCTCCTGCCTGAAGCTCTTTCCAGCTTCCCCCGAAGCCTGCCTGAGGTCACGTGGTCCCTGGGAGGAGGGGGGTGCGGGGAGTCACCACACGGGAGAAGGACGAGCTGAGGGTGGGGGCAAGGACGAGCTGAGGGAGGCTCCAGCAAAAAGGGGGCACCCAGGCCAGTGTGACGGGGGCTTCCAAACCCGGCTCTAGGGCCCTGGAGGCTTCAGGGAGCGGGAGAGGACCCCCCGTGCGATGCTCAGCGAGCCCTGCGCGCCGTCCCCGCCAGCCCGGCACCCGCCCCGCGCCCCTGGACAGCAGCGAGCAGCAAGGAGCAGAGACCGGGTCACAGTGTCGGAAAGGGAACCCCGGCTCCCCGTAGGGCTAGGAGCCCAGGGCAAGTGAGGGGACTATCTGTGCCTTAGTTTCTCAAATATGAAAGGGACAGAGCCGTAGAGTCCGCCTGCGAGGCTGGTTGTCTTGAGGAGGAAATGGGAGACCACGGGGAGGCCCGAGCAGAGGACCCGTGAGCCTGAGTCGCTGCGGCTATTACCCGGCCTGGGGGGAGGCAGGGGGGGGTCAGCGGGGTGTTGGAGCCTGGGTCCTGCCTGGGTCTCCCTGGCCACGCGAGAGTGGAGGGGGGCATGCCCTGGCCGCTGAGCGAGGGCACCCCCCGGGGTCTGCCCACCTTCTGGGATGCCCCGGGGTGGGGGACCCAGGTAGGGACGTGGGGACCCCGGTGCCTGGAGGTCCAGGAGCAACCCAGCCGCCGGCCCGCCCACAGATGGCAGAGTCGTCGCGGGGAACGCGTGGCCCGGGAACCCAAGCAGCACGGAGGCCGGGGAGGAAGGGTGTGCAGGGCACTCACGCGTCCAGCCCGTGGCGTTGGCGCTGCTGCTCTCGTCTGGGCCCCGCACGGTGACCAGCTGAACCAGAACCTCGGCGCCTGGGGGCAGCCGGGCCCAGGAGAAGTTCTGAGCCTCGGGGCCCAGAGTGTCCCTGCTTTCCAGAGTCAGGGGCCCCAGGCGGTAAAGCCGCAGCCGGAAGCCATCCCTGCCCCCGCGGGGGGCGCTCCCGAGGCGGTCAGGGCGGGGGGCCGGGTGGCGAGGCGCAGGCTCAGGTTGGCAGGAGGAGCAGGGACTGCAAGGTCAAGGCGGAGACACTCCTGGAGTGACCCACCTCCCCTGCCCCATCACCGGCACCCTCCTCCCTTTTCGGGCCAGCGTCCCGGGGGCTCCAGACACACTCCTCCAGGTGAGCCTCCCGCGGGGCGCCCGGGGCGCAGTCGTGTAAGCCTCGATTCCGGCTCAGGCCATGATCTCGGGGTTGAGAGCGGAGCCCCGTGGAGGCCGCACGCTAAGTGGGGAGCCTGCTAGAGAGTCCCCCTGTCCTCTGCTCCTCCCCACCCCACGTGCGCTGGCGCGTGCGCGCTCTCTGTCTCTGTCTCTGTCTCTGTGTCTCTGTCTCTGTCTGTCTCTGTCTCTCTATCTCTCTGTCTCTATCTCTCTGTCTCTCTGTCTCTGTCTCTATCTGTCTCTCTGTCTATCTCTGTCTCTGTCTCTTTGTCTCTCTGACTCTGTCTCTCTCTTTCTCTCTCTCTGTCTCAAATCTTTAAAAAAGAAAAAAGAAAACCACTTGAACAACACAGTCCCTGCCCTGATGCCTGCCCCCCACCTCGTCCCCACGCTGCGGCTCCTTGAGGGTGTGAGGTCTGGTCACAGGGTCCCCGCAAAACCCAGCACCTACTTCTTAAGGCCCTCCGGGCCCTGTCTCCAGCTCACCTGCTGGCATTCACTCCCTGCAAGCTCCGCCCTCCCCCTCTCTTCCCCCCTCCCCTCCCCTTCCCTCTCTCTCCCTCTCCCCCCACCCCAGGGCCTTGGCACGTGCTTAGCCTCTCCAGAAAGCCCTTCTCTGTCAGACTCAGACCCTAAGCTTCTCAGCTCACCCTCCTCCCTCTCCAGGAAGCCTTCCCTGACTCCCTACTCAGGTTGCCCTTCTGTGAGTCCTAAAACATTAGACGGAACCGCATAAAATTCCCAATAGTCATCAGTTTTAACCTATAAGAACACAGCTGGCGGCTCCAAATCCATACTGCGTATCCGCATCACGCGCTTACGTCTGTGGTGTGACGCGTAACAAGTGTGCGCCTGTGTATTCACATATCTCCTCTGACTGCTGTCGTCTTCCTTCCTAGACCGTCCTGCTCGTGAGTCTCAGCCTCAGCACCTAACCCCAAACCTAAACGATGGGAGGCGCTCATTAGATATCTGCTGAATAGGTGGACGGGTGGCTGGATGGCTGATCGGGTGGTAGGAGGCGGAGCACGCTTGCAAACAGATCCACGGCAGGCCCACCCTGATGCACACGCGACCCTCCGAGCCCAGAGAGGAAGCTGGGACCCCACGCCCACTGTCCTGCGCGGACCCGGGGGCTGCGGCCCAGGACTCACGGGTGCAGGCGCGGGTCCTCTGGGTGCTGGAGCGCAGGCTCCCTGCCCAGGTCCAGACGGACACGGTGTAGCAGGAGCCAGGCAGCAGGCCCCTCAGAGTCAGGCCCGAGCTCTCCGGCCCCACGTCCACCAGACCGCCCGGTGGCCTCTGGCTGCCCTCCTGATGCCAGGCGACCCTGTAGCCTTCCCGCGGCCCTGGGGCCGGGGCCCAGCCGATGGCCAGGTCAGAGGGGCTGCCCCTGCCGGTGACCTCCAGTGACCGCGGCGCCGGGGGCTCTGAAGGAGGGGCGGTTTGGTAAGGGGGGCATGGAGTGTGGCCCTGTGAGGCCGCTTCCCTCCTCCCCCGGTGACCCACCCCCAGCCGCAGGGTCCCACCCCGGGGTCAGGGGACACGGTGGCTGACGCTCACTCGTGTGGTCTGTGAGGTTCCGGGTAGTGTTTCTCAGAGACGAGGCGATGTCCACCCGGGAGTGGGCCCCAGGCGCTGGCCCCCCGGAGGTGCCGAGCGCGGTGGCAGGTGGCACAGAGATGTTTCCAGGAAGGCCCGGGGCCCCCTCGGTGTAGAGCAGCGGCAGCTCGGACCCATTGCTCTGCGCGGGCTGGGCCGCAGAGTCTGCAGAGGATGCAGCTTGTGGGGAGTGAGCACGCGGCTGCTTCTCCACGCAGGTGCCCGGGCAGGTGCCCCCTCCCATTCCCGGCAGCCCAGACTCACCAGGCAGCCAGGCGCTGGCCCGGGCCCAGGCGTCATAGGGCCCAGCCAGAGCCCCGAGCTCCAGAGTGTAGTGTCCAGGGGGCAGGGGCCCCGGGAACGTGGCGCGGAGGGCTCCCGGGCCCCGCGTGCTGTTCCTCTCCGCCGGCTCACTGAGCCTGAGCAGATAACCGTCCCGGGCACCGGGCCCTGCCCTCCAGCTTGCCCAGAGCGCCGCGGGCCGGGGCAGGAGCACCAGGTCCAGAGGGGCAGAGGGATCTGGGGGGACAGGATGCAAGTATGTGCAGAGCACCCACCCGGTGGGGACGAGACAGCCTGCCCCCCTCGCGCCGTCCTCTCCCCATGCACTAGGCCGCGCGACGGCCAGAGGCGGGCACCGCCACCCACCGCCACCTGCCATTCGGGGTGAATTCTGGGATCCGGCTGTGACAGCGTAACAGGAGTAACAGCTCGCCGGCGACCGAGCGTGGCCACGCCAGCAGGTCCTAGGCACCCCCCCACTGTGCTCGTGTGTACTCCCCTCAAGGCCACGAACTGAGTCACCACCGCCCCCTTTACCGAACCAGAAACAAACAGAGAAGGTAAGCGGTTTGCCCGGAGCCCCCGGCCAGGAGGGGCACCCGTGACGTTTGGAAGCTGCTCCACGGAGCGGTTGCTGCTCCCTCGACCGGGGCAGGATGGGGACGTCAGCCTGGGCTCCGCGGGCACCCAAGGCCACTCCCCAGCTGCTTGACCTCGGCCTGCTCTCCCAACCTCGGCTCCCTTCCCCCTACCACACGCTGGGGGCGACAGGACCGCGTTGGCACCGTGGCTGGCAAGGGGGGGAGTGATGGTGATGTCACACCACCATGGTTCTTCAGGTGGCCCCCCACCAGGCAGCAAGGGAGGCCGCTCCCCGCCCAGCCTCACCCCTTCCCACAGGATCCCGAAGGGGCCCCCCCACGTATCCCGCCCACTCGGCCAGAGAAGAGCTGGGAGCCTGTCCTGGCCCCCCTGCCCCCAGCACTCACAGGTCCACTTGGTGGCGTGGGGCCCCGCTGCCCGCCAGGGCCCGGCCACGGCGCAGAGCGTCAGCTCGTGGGGGGTGCCCGGGGAGAGGTGAAGGAAGGTGTGGCTGGAGACGCCGCGTCCGACCGCTGCAGTCACGTTGGTGCCGCCCAAGAGGTCTGTGAGCACCAGGAGGAGCCCGGCGGCCCCGGCCGAGTGGTTCCAGGAGGCGTGCAGGGCGCCGGCGCCCAGGGCACGCAGCAGCAGCTGGGGAGGGGACACGGGGGCTGGAAGAAGGTGGGGAGAGCAGAGTCAGGCCCCGAAGGGCCGTGGGGTGGGCGCCGGCGCCAGCCCTGGCGGTAGGAGAGCGGAAGCCCGGCTCTGCTGGGCCAAGGCGGCCCGTGCGGCTCTGGCCTGTCCCCGCCGCTCCCAGACCGGCTGCCGTCCGGGCCTCGCCAAGCGCCCGCCTTACCTGTCCACTGGCGGACGCTGCTCTTGGCCCGGGGGTCGCCGGCCCAGGTGGTGGCCTCCAGAACATACTCGCTGCCTGGCCGGAGGTCACTAAAAGTGTAGGACAGGGAGCCCGGTGGCACGGAGACGTTGCGCACCAGCGTCTGGGACTCCAGGTGGTAGAGGAGAAGGCGGCAGGCCCCCTGCTCCCCCGGGGCAGCAGCCCACGAGGCCTCGAGGCTGGACGGGCTCCCGGGGCTCCGGAGCTGCAGGTCGCGGACAGCGGCGGGGGCTGCGCAGAGGTGGGGAGAAGCGGCACGTCGGGACCAGAGGGGCCGCACCCCGGGGCCCCCGGGGCCTCTAGACGGGCGCCGTCCCAGCGTGGTCCTCGGAGAAGTTGCCCTCCTGGGCTCCCTGGTCCCTGGCCACCCTCCGGGACAGCCGCCTCCCGCTCGGCCCCCAGGCAGTGCCTGCACACCACTGGCCCCCGCCCGCAGGCCGCACAGCGGGGCTCCGTCCGCAGGGCCACAGGGCAGTCCCCGCCAGCAGGGAGCGACTTCCCGGCCCGGGGCCCGGAGCGCGGGCTGCGTAGGTGCGGGCCCGAGCGCTGCCCTTCTACAGCCCGGGGGACGCAAGCGGGTGAGGCCGAGGGCACGGCTGAACTTGTCTGGCCCCGGGGCTGCCCAGCTCAGAAAGAGGCTGGTCGGCCTCCCCTGGCCTCCCTCCAGGGAAAGGGGTGCATCCAGAGTCTCCCAATGCCCTCTCCTCTACAGGAGGGAAGGCAGGAAAAAGGGCCGGAGCGGAGGCCAAAGCTGGCATGGAGAAATCGACCCTGCGCCCCCGGACCTCCCGGACCCCCGCCCCGTGGAGACCCCTACCTCCTCTCCGTGTGTCTGGGCTCCCAGCCGGGGCGTCTCCCTGCAGGAGGGGGAGGAATGGGCAGGGGCTGTGGGGTCTGGGCCTCCGTGAAAGGCAGTGGGCCACAGGGTCAGGATCAGTGAGAGGGCCGTCCTGGGCCTGGCACTGCCCCAGAGAGGCCCCAGAGCCGCCCCACAGGCACAGCCAGCCTCGGAGTCAGCCAGGCACGGGGAGGCCATCTGGGGAGGGCGGCGGTGGGGCCCCGCAGACAGCCGGACAGGCCCCAGAGGAGGGAGCCCCCCGCCCCCCGCCCCCAGGGCCCACCGCACCTTGGCCAGGAAACCGCAGAGCCAGAGCAAGGCGGCAGACAGGACGGGGCACCTCATCCCGACGCTGTAAGGGAACGATGGAGGCAGCAGGGACGGCGCCAGGCCCCCCAACCCTCCCCTTGCCGCCTGGTGGGCAGGGGTGGAAGCAGGCGCAGGCGGCAGGCAGGTGGCCCAAGAGCAAGGGGCTGTCTCTGGACGCAGACCCTAAGCCCTCAGCCGCTCCTGCTCCGCAAGTCGCCCCCAGGGCCGGAGGGTGGAAGCCGATTGCACCTGTGAGGCTGCAGAGAAGCCCTCCTCTCCCTCCCCTGCCCCCGCACACCCCCCTCCGCCCCGCCCCTCCTCCAGCAGATAACGTTCCAGGGAGGCCTGGGAAAGTCCAGGACAAGGACAAGGTGGCCTTGCCAGCGGGCACACAGGCCACAGGCAGTGGGTCCCCACCCCCGGCCCCGAAGAAGAGTGTGGTTGTGCTATCAGCAGGAGGACACGGAGGCTCTGCGGCCAGCGGGGGAGGCGAGGGCTGGGGACGTGTGCACGGGTGGGGCTGAGCGGATGCGCCCGCTGGGAGCGCGTCCCCCTCAGTGCCCCCACGTGGCTGTGGCTCCAGGCCCTCGTGGACGCGGTGGGGTGGGGTGTGTGTTGGGGGGACCCATTCTAAAGGCCACGAGCCACCACGATGACAGGTCTAGAAGAGCCCCCCTGGCCCCTGGGACACGTCTGCTCCTACATCCTCACTGAGCTCCACGGAGGGGGAGCCCGGCCCCAGACGGCGAATCCTGCTCCTAACCCCCGACTGGGGTCCTCTCGGCCTGGAGCTCTCTGAGGAGCTACCTAAGTCTCGCGGCAGCGGCTTTCCGTCCGCACCTCCCCTACCTAGGTCAGCGGTGCCCACCTGTCCCCCTGACCCCCCGCCCCCACCAGGCTGCAGGCAGGTGAAGCGCAGGGGAGCCTCCCCGAGGCCTGGCCTAGAAGCGGGTCAGCTTGACCCCGGCCTAGAGCCAGCTCCTCACCTGGAGCCCCGCACCCTGTGTCCCCACCCCGAGGGAAGGGCGGGAGCAGGAGGGAAAGCAAGGGCTCGGGCCCTGGGGAAGGAGCCCGGGACTCCCGCCCGCTCAGGAAGTGGCGAGCGGCAGGTGCAGAGAGCAGGCGGGATAGAAGCTGAACTCGGGCCACAGGAGGCCGCCCAGAGCCCGGCTGCCGCCCTTCCCCCTCCGCACCCGGCCCCCACCCGGCCCCCACCTCAGAGCCAGCCACCCACTGGCCTCGGGATAGGGGCCTGCAAACGGCGCTGCACACTCATCAGGTTTTCCAGGCTGCGTGCGCGTGTACATGCACACGTGTGTTCTTTCAGCAGGGAGCGGGGTCAGAGAGCAACCGGGGAGAGAGGCCCCAGTGTGGCCAGGAGGTGGGGAGCCTCCTCCCCGTGCTGCCAGCCCCGCCCCCCACGCCTGGGGTACCCCCCCCCCCCCCGCTCTTTCTAGCACAGTCTCCAGCAGCAGCAGCAAAGGGGAGACGGGTGGAGACATCCTGATTCAGAACCTCCGCAGAGATGCGGCCACACCGGGTGTAGGTGGGGGGGCGGGTCTCACGCTGCCTGCGAGCTCCCGTGGGGGGCCCGGGGGCAGCACAGACGCCCCAGCTGGTGCTGCGGACAGTCCCGGGGAAGCAGGACCACACCTGGCCACAGGAGCACGCCTGCGCCTGCCAGCCGCCCGCCCGTAGGGCAGAGGGAGGAGGGGCCCAGAGCGGGTGGACGTATCCCACAGACAGGTCAGCCGCCCCAGCCCAGGCTCCCCATTCAGCAAAAAAAAAAAAAAAAAAAAGTACCACAAGGGCTGTGTCTCCTGCGCGGCAACCACTCCCACAGACAAACCCACATCCTCTCCCTAGAGAAGCCCCGGGGTCCTCCTGAGTCTCAGAGCACCTACCGATCCCTTCTGGAGAGGCCAGGGCACCCCGATTCCCAAATGCTAGCCAGCAGTGTCTGCCTGCAGCCGTCCCACGCAGCTCCCTCCGGGCCCCTCCTGTCCCCGGCCTGGAGCCAGGGTCCCCCGCGCGAGAGGAGGATAGTCGCCGGCAGGACAGGGGCCGGATGGACCCGCAGCACAGCGAGGCTCCCACTCCTCCTCCCACGCCCTGGGCAAGGTCCCTGGGGGCGGGGTAGACCGGGATCCTGGGGGGCTGGGGGGCCGTGTGGGGCTATGGGCGCGGGCAGATGGACACCCTGCGGGCGGGCGCTGCGGGGGAGCACACACCCACCCGGATGCATGAGCACGTGTGGGCACGTGTGTACACGGGGCATCCAAGGGCATTGCAGAGGGGGAGATGGACAGGAGGGTCCCGGACGGGCAGACCACGTGGTAGGATAGATGTCCACCCCCCTGGCCCTCGGGCCGTGGTCCGTTCGGGCCTCCCGTCCCCCTGGAGGGACCTGTGCCCCAGCAGCTGACCAAGAATGGGCTCCTCCCAGGCTCCCCGGGCGCTCAGCCCGCCTGAGTCCCCGGCCCTCGGCCGGGGGTGTGGGGTGTGGGAAAGTCCCCCTCGCCAGCAGGTACCCAAAAGGTGTCGGGGAAACTGGGTCGGGCAGGTGAGCTTCCGGGACGGCCGGCTCGGAGCCAGGGCCCCAGGGCAGGCCGGCGTCTCCCGGCCAGACGGCCGCTGGCCCACCTCCTAGGGCTGCTGTGCCCTGCTCCCAGGGTCCCCTGAGCCCCCCGGCTTCGGCGGAGAGGTCCCCCGGCTCCTCGCTCACTGTGTCTCGGGCCCCCCCCTCCGCCAGAGCCAAGCAGGGCCTGGGGTGCTGGGCTGGCCGGCAGGCCTTGGCTGGCCCAGGTTTGGGGTGACGTGGGGGCACCTATGACCCTAAGGCTTCTCCAGAGAGGGGTGGAGAGGCCTAAGGAGGACTGGGGCGCATGCAGGGTGCAGGACACGGGAGTCTTGGCCGCTAGCCGCCGGCCCCAAGCCCAGGAGCGTCCCCTTGGGATCCCACAGGGTGGCAGCCCTTGCCTCTGGGGCTGGTGGCGGGGTCTTGTTCCCTGGGCGCTGCCAGGAATTCCAGACACAGCGGCCCCTCCACGGGGCTTCCGACGGCGGGCACGGCCAGCTGGGGCCGGCGGCCCGGATCTGGGGACTGGGGGGGGGGGTGCAGACGGGCAGGGGGGAGGGGTCTGCGGGACTGGAGACCCTCGGGCCACACGCGCGTCTCTGGGCCCTGCCAGCTTCTCCCAAGCACCAGAGAGGAGCCGATCACCCGCTTGGGGAGGAGCCTGCCTCGGACACTGAGCCTCAGGCGGCGCAGGGGCGCCCCAGGGTCCCAGCAGCGGAGCCGCCCGTCTGCCCATCGCACATGGGTCTTCCCGCTGTTGCGAGGCTTCCTTGGGAGTCAGGGTGGCTGGAGCCCAAATCCCAACTCTGGAAGGCAAACCTGCTACTGGAGGGATCCGGGCAGTTCCCCCCCAGGAATGAGGGGGTTCTGGGGGGCCCCACTCCCAGGGAGCCCCGGGCCTGCCCTGATTCCAGCAGGCTGGCCGGTCTGGGGAGCTCCCGCGGGGGGCACCAGGCCCACGGGTGGCACGCTCTGCCCTCCATGCACGTCCAGGCTCTTCTGAGCAGAAGGCGGGAGGACAGGAGGCGGGGAGTGACTGTTCCCCCAACCCCAGACACACGCAACCAACGGGAACTGAGAGATCCTCAGGGTTTTGCCTAACGCTGCTGCCCCCACCCCCACCCCCACCCTCACCCCCCTCCCTGTCTCCTGGCTCCCAGCCTCCTTGCCCTCAGTGTGTAGCTCCTCAACCTGCTGCAGGGCCCTTGTGAGGGCAGAGGGTGTGCTCACGGCCAGTGGGGCTCAGACCCTGGAAACCTGGTGGGAACCTGGAGGCACGGGCCGGCCAGGGGGCAAGGCTGGGCCCGCTTCCTCCTCCCCACCCCTGCGGTGTCCTAGCTTCCTGTTCTCGATAACCATCAACAGCTTGGCCCAACGGGCTGGCCCTCTTTCTGATCCCCTCCTGCCCCCTTCTTTGATCCCCAGGGCCCCACTGGTGTGTTTGGGGGAGCAGTGGAGGCAGAAGCCACCTCGGGTCCCTTCCTGCAGGTCGACCAGGGATTCCCAGGTTCTCCTGCACCCGCCTCTGCCCTGTTCTGGGGACCAGAGCCAGCTACTGCTCCAGCTCCTCCTTTCGGGGAAGCCACCCACTCCCCAGAGTGAAGAAGCCTCCGGGACCAGCCAACCCTGGAGGGGCCGGGAAGGGGCCGGCTCCGGATCCGCACCCCCGGGGAGCACGGACAGGCACTGGAAGGCCTCGCGAGCTGCAGTCATCCAGGGCTTCGCCCCAAGCCCCCCCCCCATGGCCAGCCCCCTCCCCACCGCCCCTCCTGTGTGCCCACCCCCTGTTGAAAATGGTTTCTTTTTTGCTGTCACCATTGACAGCTGAATCAGAGAAGTAGGAGGACGCGAGAGGACGGGGATGGCGCATGTTGGGGCCGGGACGGGGAGGGTGTTCGCGGTGTTACGAGGTGGAAGGAGCCGTGCAGCGAGCATGACCCGCTGGGCACCTGGCCAGCAAGGGGCCTGCCGAGGCGAGGCGGGGGCGGGGGGCGCTGGAGTCCTGGGCGCGGGGGCCACTTCCTGGGCCCCAGGCATCCAGGCACCCCAGACGCGAAGAAGGTGTGGGAGTCCCCCACCCCGTGAGGGCCAGAGACTGTCCACTATCTGTCAGTCTGCTGAACTGATGTCAGGATGCTGGGGAGAACTGGAGGGGCTGGGGGGGAGGCAGGGGGAGAGCCCCCCAGACTCTCCTACGAACCGTGTCTACCACCCACTTCCGGGCCTGCTGGTCCATCGCCACCACAGGTAGCTGACAGCTGGGCTGCGGCTCGAGTCCCAGGGACGGCCCTTCTGGCCTGGCCTGGGCCTTTCTGCCCCTGCTTCCCTCCTGCCCGCCCCACGCCCGCAGCCACCTCTGCAGGTGCCCCGGCCCCTGCCCCTGACTCCAGGGCTTGAAGGGGGCAAGGGCTCCCCGGACCACAGGGCGCCGGGGCAGAGGCAGGGCAGTGTCCGGGCAGGGCCGGCGGGACCAGCACCAGCAGCGAGCTGGGGGCAGCGGGCTGACGCTGCACGTGACCGGGGCCCAGAGGCCAGACAGTCCAGGGAGCACGCGGGCCGGGGGCGAGGGGAGCCAGGGTGGCGGGGAACGGTCCGGCCCCCTCCCTCCCCGCACCCCGGCCCGAGGGACCCGGGCAGCCCACCCCGGGGCACAGGCAAGAGGCACCCGACCCCTGGTGGCGGCAGCAGGCGCAGGAGGGCAGCAGGCGGCTGGGGTGTGCGTGGGTGGCAGCGAGGAGGGGCGAGGGAGGAAGCTGGCTTCCTGAAGCGTCCTCAGCCCTCAAAGACCGACCAACAGACAGACAGACAGCTGGCAAGAGGCGGCCTGGAGGCCACGGCTGCCTCAGTGAGTCCCTGACCGGGGGAGGAGGGGCCCCGTGGTCCTGGGGTGGTGGGGACCCCGGGGAGGTGGGGGGCACGCCGGGCGGGCGGGAGCGAGGCTGCGTGGGGTGCCGCGCTGTGTGGCCGCGGAATGGGTGCTGCCCCAGCAGACGGCCCCGAGGGGCGCAGGGAGGGAGCCCCAGGGCGCTGCAGGGGGGCCAGAGGCCAGCCACCCCTTCCTGCTTCGTGCGAGCTTCTCGCTCCCCCCACATCTGCACGGCCGGCCGGGCTGTCCCCTCACCTCGGGGCTTAGCGGCCCCGCCGCCGCCCCCACCCCTCGGACGCCGCGGCCTGGCTCTGGGAGGTGGGGACGGTCCCCCCGGAGGACACGGGCCCACCACCTCCGTGCCCCCCGTCCCCCCGGCTGTCGCCTCACCATGCGCTGCCGCTCAAGGGCTTGTGAGGCCATTTCCTGTGACGGTTACAGAGGCGGGAGGTGGGGGGATGGGCGGGGAGGAAGGAAACACCCCCAGCCTACCTCCCTGGACAGAGACCCCAGAAGCCAGAATGACCTTGGGCCCGCCCGCAGCGAGGACAGGGTCCCCGAGGGTCCCCAGCTGGCTCCGCTGCCGCCGCCGCGAGAGGCCTCAAACCTCTCATCTCGGAGCGGGCCCGGCCTGGAGGTGGCTTCCGTGAGCCTTCTCTCTCCCTTCCACGCAGAACGCGGCTCCCGTTTCCTCCCTCGCCTTCCTTACCTGGGCCCGCGCAGGCCCCCTGTGCTCCCGCCTCGGGCAGCCTCTGCCCCCCCTCCCCCTCCGCCTGGAGCCCTTCCTGACCTCGCCTCCCCGCACAAGCTCCATACCTGTCGGGTCCCTCCTCCAACCCCGGCCGCCCCACCGCCCTGGGTCCCCCCTCGTAGGGACCCCGGCCTTCTTGCGTGAAAACGACAGCTCTGTGCAGAGAAGGGACGACACCTGAGAGCGGAGGTGCCAGAAAGCAGGCGGCGGGCCTGGGCTTGGGCGCCTCTCAGGTGGGCAGAGAGGCCGGGGTCAGCTGCCGAGGGCCCTGTCTTCCAGGTGAACCTCATGGCTGCGTGAGCCTCCCCCGGGCCAGCACCCAGCCCAGCATGGTCCAGGACTGGGGGGGGTGCTCGAGAGCACGGCCGCCGACCTGGTCTTTGTGGGGAGCCATGACCCAGCCGCCACCCAGCAAAGCTCCGGCCAAGAAGCACGTGCGGCTGCAGGAGAGGTGAGGCCTTTCCTGGGGGGCGGGGGGCGTCCCAGCCCTGAGACCCTGCGCAGTGCCCTCCGCCTGCCCCTACAGCTCCGAGGCCGAGGGCCCAGGGCTCCAACCTGGAAAGGAGCCCAGATGTGCTCATTTGCATGTCATTTGCATGCACTGAGGGGTCGGGATAAAGTTTCCAGCCTCCTTGGGCTGCTCCCCAACCCTGGAGCAGGGCTGTGTTGGGTCTGGGCTCGTCCGCGCTCTGGGTGTGGCAGGAGGGGCGCAGGCGGGCAGCTGGAGCGTCCAGGTGACGAAAGGAGGGAACGCGGCGGGGCCTGAGCCCCCGAACCCACCGGGCCTCCGCCCAGGGGAAGACCAGGAGCAGCCTCCTCAGACGTGCCCTGAACCAGCAACAGCAAAAAGCAGCAGCCAGTTGGTGTTGTCGTGCCCGCAGGCGGGGCTCCAACGTGGCTTTGATGCTGGATGTGCGGTCCCTGGGGGCCGTGGAGCCCATTTGCTCGGTGAACACGCCCCGGGAGGTCACCCTGCACTTTCTGCGCACGGCTGGACACCCCCTCACCCGCTGGGCCCTGCAGCACCAGCCGCCCAGCCCCAAACAGCTGGAGGAGGAATTCCTGGTAAGAACTTGGGGTCCCCCCGCGGCGCTGTGTGCCTCCGAAGCACAGCCAGCCAGCGGGCACCGTAGTGTCTCGGGCACCGGGTACGGCTCCTCTTCGGGCCTCCGGAAAGAGAACCCACGAGGGAGAAAACCACCCGTGGGGGCCCTCTGCACTGCACCCCTGCAGACCCATGGGGGCCGGGAGGGAATTGCCGGGATCAGCCCCTGTGGACACAAGGACGGGGCGGCGGGGGCAGGCGGGCACGGGGTGGGTATTCACTCATCTCTTCCCTCTGCCAGAAGATCCCCTCGAACTTCGTCAGCTCTGAAGACCTGGACGTCCCTGGCCACGCCTCCAAGGACCGCTACAAGACCATCCTGCCGAGTAAGAACCGCGTGTCGGGGGAGTGCAGCCGTCCCTGGGCTGGACGGTGGGAGGGCGACAGGCGCGGCCCGAGCCAGGGGACGGGGACGGGCGCGTCTGCGAGAGCAGCGGCAGGTTTGGGGATGGGAGTCCGGGGCTCTGAGGGGTGACCCCGCAGGCCCTAAAGGCCCAGGCCCCCCGCACAGAAGCAAGCACCAGACCCCGGGAGACTGACTCCCGCCGCCGCCCGCCCACCTCCAGCAACTCCCAGCCGTGAGGCCCTCTCACCGCCCCTGCCCCTGCCCGCCTGGTGGGTCAGCACTCAGCCCAGGGAGCGGGAGGGAGTGGCCCTCGTCCCGGCCCAAGTCAAAGATGGAGGGGAGGTCCCCCCGCCTGCAGGGCCCCGTCCAGAACCAGGCCAGCCCTGGGGGAGCTGGTCTCCCTGCTCACGAGCCCGGCCTCCGTCCCTGCTGGGACTCGCGTGGGGACAGCCCTCCCGCTCGAGGCAGAGCCGGGCAGGCCCAGTGCAGCCCGAGTCCTGGCGCCTCGTCACCACCCTGCGAGTTTAGCAAGTCACTCGTCCACATCCCGTGTTCGCCGTCAGAGAAGACGCCTTCTCCGTCCCCGTTGGCACAGTCCTGCTCCGCCCCTGCCCACCTCCGGGCTGGAGTGTCCCACCGACCGCCCACGAGCCCCTGCTGCTCCAAACCCTTTCTCCCACAGTCCGTCCCCTACGGCCCCACCGGGTCAACCCGCCAGGTCAACCCGCCCCGGGAGGTCCTTTGCTTACGTCCCTCTGCTGCTCAGAGGCCTTCTGCGGCTCCTATTGTCTGCACACGAAGTAATTTAGTGGGTCTGTGGCCACCTGCTATCCCGGACTCGCTGTGACAAGTGCGGGGACTCACCTCTTCTGACCCCGTGGGAGCGAGCGTTAGTCGGTCCCCTTTTGACCTCTGACCTCTGCTGATCTTTACTTCCCAGATCCCCAGAGCCGCGTCTGCCTGGGCCGGGCACAGAGCCAGGAGGACGGAGACTACATCAACGCCAACTACATCCGAGTGAGTGGCCTTGGCCGCCGCTGCCCTGCGGGGAGCGGGGTGTGTTTGAGGACATCTGTCCCCAGAGAACGGCTCCCAGCTGTGGGTCCCGCTCCAGTCACCGCTGCCCGGCCCCGCCAAGCTGGGGCAGACCCCGAAGGGGCCCCGGCCACCAGCCAGAGCACAGAGCAGATGTCACGCTGGGATGATACCAGGCCGGGCCCTTCAACCCCGCCCGCCCTGCGCCCAGGGAGCAAGTCGCACCGTTGCCCCCCCCCCCATCCCGGGGCTCAGCCTGGAAGGTGCTGCACACAAAGGAGCTCTTAGCTGCCTCCTCTCTCTCTCCTTCGCGGCCCCTCCTTCGAGGAGATGGTTCAACATCGTGTAGGGACCAGGGGCCGGTGGCTCCCTACCCGGGTTCCCCGCCTCTGCGGGGCCCTAAGTAGCTGTCCAGGCAGCGCCCCTAGTGGTCCGGGGCGGCAAGGACGGCAGTCGGAGGCAGGACGTGGTGAGCCTGGGGGGGGGGGGGGGCCGAAGGAGACCTCCCAAGAGCCGCAGAAACGGGGGCCGGGGGCGAGCAGCATCTCTCTGGGCTTCCTCATCTGGAGGAGCTGAGGCTCCGAGGGCTCAGGAAGGGGCCGCAGCCCCGAGTGCATCTTGCTACTAAATATGTAAAAGTGATGCGGAAAGGCCAGCCGGTCCCTCCACCAAGGGCTGAACGCGGTTTTCTTCTTTAGTGCGGGTAGAAGGCCGCGGGGAGGCAGGGGATGCACCCCACAAAGGACCAAAGGAGGGGACAGGCACCGGCCTCTCAGTGCACCTTCTGGAATCGGATCTGTACCGCTTCCCGCACGCCAGATACGAGCCCACTTCCCAGAGGAGGAAGCCGAGGCTTATGGAGGCCGCCACCCCGCTTCCCGCGGCAGAGCCCACGTGGGGTGGCCTGATCCTAGGACCTGCAGGGTCCGGGGTCCCCCTCCCCACCGCCCCGGCCCTCTCTCACTGCTTCCCGCCCTTCCTTTGCACACCGCCCCCCCCCAGGGTTATGACGGGCAGGAGAAGGTCTACATTGCCACCCAGGGCCCCATGCCCAACACTGTGTCGGACTTCTGGGAGATGGTGTGGCAGGAGGAAGTGTCACTCATCGTCATGCTCACTCAGCTCCGGGAGGGCAAGGAGGTAGGAGGTGGTGCCGCAGTCCCTAGGGAGCCGCCCGGCTGCCCCCTCCGCACCTCACATGCCCCTACCCCCTAGGGGGCAGCTCAGCACTAGGCCCCCCGCCCCTGCCCCCTGCCCCAGTCTGCGCCTCTCAGGAAAGTTCTGAGTGTCAGAGGCAGGGCGGGGAGGAGCGAGCAGGTGCCAAGCTCCGGGAGCCCCCCTGCCCCAGGGCCGACCCAGGCCGCCCATAGCCCCCCAGTGGGCGGGAGGGGGGCCCACTCCCCATTCTGGCGTCCTGGCCCTGCTCCACTGATAGACACTCCCCCTCTGACTCCCAGCTCCCTCCCTCCTAGAAATGTGTCCACTACTGGCCCACGGAAGAGGAGACCTATGGACCCTTCCGGATCCGCATCCAAGACACCAAAGAATGTCCAGAGTACACTGTGCGGCAGCTCAGCATCCAGGTACAGGGAGGCCCGGCCGCCCCCAACCTCCACCCGGAAACTCAGGCCCACCCTTCACGGGGAGCCAGGGCTTCGCGCCTCCAAACCTTCTCGAACACGCGTCTAAATGAGGAGCTTGAGGGGCACGGCGGGGGGGGGGGGCCAGCGGTGGGGGTCTGCCTCCGGCCCAGGGCGTGACCCTGGGTCCTGGGATCAAGTCCTGTGTCGGGCTCCCTGCATGGAGCCTGCTTCTCCCTCTGCCTGTGTCTCTGCCTCTCTCTCTCTCTCTCACGAATAAATAAATAACAAAATCTTTTAGAAAGTAAAAGAAGAGCTTGAGGCACAGAAGAAAGAGAAGGATAGGTAGTGCCCTAGTGTCAGGGCAGAGCCAACGAACCCACAGGAGCCACCAGGAGGCCCGGGAAAGGAGAGGTGGGGCCCTGGAGTCCTGCTGGAGGAGCCAGGGCGGGAGATTCATGGGGACACAGGCCAAGGGCTGGGAAGCGCCTTCTAGGGCCACCTGGCGCTTCATACTTTTCCAAGCATTCCTCTATCAGTTCATTATCCCCCAGGCGTCCAGAGAAGTGACCCTACACGGTACCACTGCCTCCTTTCCCTGAGCAAAAAGAATGAGCTTAAGGGACGTGCCCAGAGTCACGTGCTGGTTAGAGCAGAGCCAGGGCTTGAACCTGGGCCCTCCCCGTCGGTGGGCACCCTCCTCCGGGCGCGACGGCACAGGGAGTGGTGGGGCTCGGGGAGCAGAGGGGAGCCCGATCTTGCCCGCTCGGTCCATGGGGTGATTCTGGCCCTCGCCCACCTCTGGCACCAGAGGAGAAGGCTGGCGGTGCCCCAGCCTGACCCAGGCCTCATGCCTGTCCCCGTGACAGCACCAGGAGGAGACCCGGCCAGTGAAGCACGTCCTCTTCTCCGCCTGGCCTGACCACCAGACCCCGGAGTCGGCGGGGCCCCTGCTGCGCCTGGTGGCCGAGGTGGAGGACAGCCCAGAGGCGGCTGCCAGCACCGGCCCCATCGTGGTCCACTGCAGGTACGCGGCCCCCACCCTTGCCTTGGGTCTGTCCCCGGAGGGGCCCAAGAAGGACAGCGTCGGGCAGGCCCAGCTCTCCCAGGAAGGGCTCTCTAGGCCACCAGCAAGCGCCGTGTGCTCATCCTCTCCTCCAGGCAGGGCCTGGCCACCTGGGCCGGACACTGGGGCACAGGCCAGAGAGCGGACACTATCAGAGAGCTTCCCCGTCGGCTGGGGGGCGGGGGTCATGGCCCCTGCTGCTGAGGAGACAGCTTGGCTTACGGCCCCAGGAAGGATGCACATCAAAGGACGAAGCGCAACACAGGGTGACGAGGGCTGTGCGGCGGTGCCGGGGAGCACAGGACCAAGTCGCACATCCCAGACTTGGGCCAGGGAAGTTTTTCCAGGAGGAAGGACGTTTAAACTAAGTGAAGGCCCGAGAGGTGAAGCAGCCAAGTGAGGCGTGCAAAGGGGAGGCGCTCCCGACTGATGGAACAGCATGTGCAAAGGCCCCTCGACAGAATTTCTGAACGGACGCATTGCTGGAGTAGAGTGACATGGGGGGCCTGGGGGTCATGTGGGGGAGGTGAGGAGAGAGCTAAGAGTCACTCTGGAAGACCCGTGACAAGACGCCTCCTGGGACTGACTAAGAAACTTGGATTTAGCCAGAGGAATACTAGGCTGCAGAGTGAGAAGCCGAGTGGGACGGAGGGGGCAACGGGCACGCGCTTCCCACAGGACACCATTCCGGAGCAGAGCACGGGGCACAAGCACAGGCAGAGGGACTCATGGGCCCCCTCCCCACAGGCCGCCTCCGTCGGGGTTCAGACAAGAAGTCTCCCCAAAGAAGGGGGCACCGGGAAGGTCTTGAAATAGAGAGCAAGACAGAGCAGCATGGGGGGCAGCTGTGGGAAGGCCCCTGGGCGTGGGCAGCTGTGGGGGGTGCCTCACGGCTGGAGAGGGCGGGGTGGGGGCTCAGCAAGCCGGGGGGGCCCCAAGCTGGAAGCACCGCCCGCTGCTGAGCAGGAGACGGTCATCCGAGCGTCCACAGGGATGGCCGCTGCCCTGGGACAGGGTTAGGGACATGTAACCTCCTCCAGCGCCAGCTCCCACCCGCGACAGTCCCACCAGCTTCCTCCATCCCCAGGCCTCCACCCCCAAAGCAAGCGCCCTAAGTTCCCCCTGCTTCTCCGGAGTTTGGGGCCCGGGGCCACGTTCCCTGGGCCCCATAACCTCCCACCCCCTCCCGGCCGTGTCCAGTGCAGGGATTGGCCGGACCGGCTGCTTCATCGCCACCCGCATTGGCTGCCAACAGCTGAAGGCCCGAGGGGAAGTGGACATTCTGGGCATCGTGTGCCAACTGCGGCTGGACAGGTGGGTCCGCGGAGGTGGACGGGATGGGCCTGCGGAGGTGGACGGGTGGACGGGATGGGCCTGCGGAGGTGACGGGTGGATGGGATGGGCCTGCGGAGGGGGACAGGTGCACGGGTGGGTCTGAGGAGGTGGACGGGCGCACAGGTGGGTCCATGGAGGTGGACGGGTGGACGGGATGGGCCTGCGGAGGTGGATGGGTGGATAGGATGGGCCTGCGGAAGGGGACGGGTGGGTGGATAGATGGACGGGCAGGTCCGCGGAGGTAGACAGGTGGACAGGCGGGTCTTTGGAGGTGGACAGGTGGGTGGACGGGCCTGTGGAGGTGGGCGGGACCCACAACCTGAGGACTGGCATCAGTGCTTCCTGGGCACCAGAGAACTTGCAGGCACATCACCATCGGGCCCTTCCCTTGAGGAAGAAAGGGACTCTTGGCTTAAAGATCTGTTTCTTTTGCAACTAGCGCCCAGGAAAGACTAGAATGTTAGCTTTGCAGGCTGAGAATTAAATACGCCACTCTGTGGATATCTGAGCACAAATCTGTTTGGGTTTTGTTTCCAAATTCCCTACTGAGGGGAAGGTGGAAGAACAGGGTACGGTTGGTTCTAGATAATGCACGGAAGGCCCTGGACCTGGACACGGGAACCAGGGTGCACCCTCTGACTCGCACCTACCGAGCTGTCTCGGTATTTCTCTAGGCCCCATTTCTTTATCTGGAGAGAAATAATGGCTCCGTCCCCCGAGAGCTGGTGTGAGGAAAGAGTTAACTCACTTTTCTCGAATATAAGAGCCTACTCTACAGATATATGGAATGGCTATGCTTGCTTTTAAGATGGGGAGGGGGAAACTTTGAGGTTTGAGAAAAATCGAGGCCTGGTCCTGCCCTAGGAGCCGATGGGTCACAGAAGAACAAGGCTCAGTATGAGTCGCCCTGACTATGGGGCAGAGGGGCCTTCCTTGTAGGGAAGGAGTGAGGGGCAGCCGGAGGGCGTAGGAAGCTCAGAGGATGAAGGTGGGAAGTGGCTGACAGTTCTCTGGGAGGACCCCCCTGCAGGGCTCTGAGGCCTGACCCCACCCTCCCCGCTCACCGTCCACGTGCTTCCCATACAGGGGCGGGATGATCCAGACCACGGAGCAGTACCAGTTCCTGCACCACACCCTGGCCCTGTATGCGGCCCAGCTGCCGGAGGGGCCCTGCCCCTGACTCCGGGTGCCCTCCACCAGCCCAGAGGCCAAATTCCCCCAGGCCTGGGTGGGGTGCGGGGGCTGGGAACGTGGGCCTCGTGACCTGAGGGACCCCTTGGAGGGGCGTGGGGAGGGCTGCCCCGCTCAGTGGACTCGCGCGGCCACGGGAGGCTGCAGCAGACTCAGGGCTTTAGCAGGGCCGCCCTTCTGCTTCCGCTAGCGGCCCCAAACGGACGCTTGGGGGACCTCCCGTGTCCCTCTGGGCTTCGAGCGAGGAGCCGGCATTTAGGACAGCTGAGAAAGGAGCCCAGGTGTCCGGGTCCTGCCCACAGCGCTCCGCGAGCTTCATCTCTGGGACGTGGACATTAGGTGCCTCCCTGCCATGGCGAAAGCAATGGGAGAAGCTCCCAGGAGCCGCGCCAGCTGTGCCCCCGTCCTGGGGCCGGCGAGACAGTGACCCAAGACCATCGGCTGCCTGGCCCTGCCCAAGCACAGGCCGGATGCCGGAGAAGCCTGGTCCTGACCGTGGCCACGTTCCCAGCATCCCCGCAGGGACTGTCTCCTCGCCCCACACCTGCGAGGGCTGGATGCCGCCCACCGAAGGGCAACAAGGCCCCAGAGCGCCCCTGTGCCCACACTGGAGTCCTGGGATCAGGCTCCAGGGCTGACCAGGCCAGGCAGTCGGATCCTCTGGAAGAGGGGAGGCGTGGGGACCCCTCAGAAGTCCAGCGGGGTCCTTGCCTCCGTAATTGCCAGCCGCTCACCCCAGCTGCTCCGTGGGAGGGCCCAGCATCTTCGTTCTTCCTTCCACGACCTCAGGAGAGCCCTCGGGAGCAGGAGGTACGAAGGAATGAGGAGAAAGGACGAAACAAAGGGCTTGGCCTGATTTTAGAAAGGCAGCCGCCTGCCCCTGCCCCTGCCCCTGCCCCCGGCCCCCTGCGTTTGCAGAGCGCGCCTGGAGAGCCTGGCCGTTTCCACAGCAAGTCGGGGTGAAAGCGCTCCCTGCGGACCTGGGGCCTCAGGCTAATTCGGGATCCCTCCGAGTCTATCTCAGAGAGCGAACGCCCTTCGGCACCTCAGTATCAGCACAGTTTCCAGGGCACCCACCATCGATCTCAGGGCTCACCTGCACGCCCCAGGGAGACCTCCGGTCCTTCATCCTCGAATCCAAGGTGCGCTGCTCGTGGGGGTGAAGGAAGGCGCCACCCTCCGGGCGCTCAGCCCCCAGGGGCTGCCTTTGCTGATGCCGGTTCGGGAGCCCCCCAAGGAGCTGGAGCCTGGAGAACAGCCCAGTCTCCCCGTGCATGACGCCCCTTCTGAAGAGCGTGCAGTGTGGACACTGAGGTTCATTTTCTTCATGCTTCTGCTTGGTCTCACAACGGAATCTCTCCTTCCTTGCAGCCCCGGGAGCCGGCTCCCCGGCCCCCCAACCTTCCCTGCGCCCGATGGGAGGCACGCACAGGCTGTGCCTGCCCGGAGAGCGGGGCAGGAGCTCTCAAGTGCCTGAGCCTGCCCAGCTCAGACCGGGCAGGGAGGGAAACAGAGGCGTGAGCGTGGGCCCGCAGGCTCCCCTCCCCGGCGTGCCGCCCCCACCCCTTCTAGAACTTAGCACACGCTCTGGAGAAGGGACCGAGTAGAAGAATAAAGGCTTTTTTGGATGACTGATTCGTTTCTTCCCATCTTTTTCTCAAGCCCGCGAGCCTCTTCACAGCAACAGAGTAAGATGCCACAGACCAGGAGTGAGCTCCAGACCCTTACCCCAGGGCATGCACGTTTCTGGAAGTTCTTGAGACCCGGCATAGTGACACTGCAGTCAGGTTAGGAAGTGGGGCAGAGGGGTGCCTTGGAGCTAGGTCGGGACCTAGAAGAGGCAGTAGCTAGAAGGATGATAGTTTGGGATCCCCTCACTTTGGCCACTGGTCATCCGGGCTCTCCTTGGGTAGGCCCGACCCATAGGGTTTGGGTTGGACGCCCACCCGTGAGTGCATCTGAAAAACCAGATACTAAGGAGCATCCGTCCTGGGTCGGGACTGCCCTGGGGCCTGCGGGGAGCGGCCAGCTCGGGGGCTCAGCATCCTGGCCCGCCCTGCGCCTCCCGCCGTCGGCTCTCCTTTGGGAGAAAACTTCAGCTTTCACCAAAACAGGCCAACTTTTCGGAGCACCGCCCGTCTTCCTCCCTGGAACCCCCCCCCTTGCAGGGGTTTATCTACGGATTACGATGACAGTAGCCCCGGCCCCGCAGCTGTTCCACTTGGGGCCGGGGCTGCCCAGAGCAGCAGCTGAGGGCGAGGGTGGGTCACAAGACAAGACGGAGCATTGACGGGCCCTGTCGGCCGCTTAGGTTGCTCCGGGGCAAGGCCCGGGAACAAAAAGCCTCCATCAGCCTCGGTGCAGGCCCCGGAAAGTGGGTGAAGCGTCCTTCTCTCCTTCTCCGCCCGCCGGACGCCCCCCCACCCCCACCCCGCGGGCGCATCCCCCGCAGCAGGCCCGGTGCCGGCGCGGGCGGGAGGCAGGGCCGCGGGGTGGCGCGTCTCCCCGGGCGCCCGCAGGCGCAGGCCGAGCCCCGAGCGCGCGAACCCCCGCGCCCCGCGCCCCGCGCCCCGGCCGCCCGCTGGGGTCGGGGGGGCCGCGCCCGGGGCGCGCGGGGCGGCGGCGGCGGGGGGCGGCGGCGGCGGCGGGGGGGGCGGGGGCGGGGGGGCGGGGGCGGAGGCGCCGAGGCCACACCCATCGGCGCGCGGCTCCGGGGCAGCGAGTCGTCGGCCGCCGCGCTCCAGCCTCCGCCCGCTCCGAGCCGCGGACCCGGGCCGCACCGGGAGGGGCCGCTCGGCCGCAGCGCGAGGGCAGCGAGGGGCGGCGGCGGCGGCGGCGGCGGCGGCGGCGGCGGCGGCGGGCACCGGGCGGGGCCGGCGGCGGCGACCATGATCGCTTTGTTCAACAAGCTGCTGGACTGGTTCAAGGCCCTGTTCTGGAAGGAGGAGATGGAGCTCACGCTGGTCGGGCTGCAGTACTCGGGCAAGACCACCTTCGTCAACGTGATCGCGGTGCGCGGGGGGCGCGGGGGCGCGGGGGCGCGGGCGCGGGGAGCCTGGGGCCTAGCGCGGCCGCGGGGACCCGGGGCGGGGGGCGGGGGGCGGGGGCCGGGCCGCGGGGGCCGCGGGGGGGAGGGGGGCCAGAGGGCACAGCGCCCCCGGCCCCCGCGGAGGGGGCATGACGGGGCGAAAGTGCACGGGCCTCCCCGCCCCGCGCGCGCGGCCGGCCGGCTGGGGGAGGGGGCGCGGGCGAGCCTAGCCCCGCCCGGCGGCCCTAACCCTCGGCGCCCCTGCTGTCCCCGCGACTCTAACTCTCGGACCCCCGCGGCTCTAACCCTCGGACCCCCCCCCCCGGCGGCTCTAACCCTCGGACCCCCCCCCCGGCGGCTCTAACCCTCGGACCCCCCCCCCGCGGCCCTAACCCTCTGACCCCCGCGGCTCTAACCCTCGGACCCCCCCCCCCGGGGCCCTAACCCTCTGACCCCCCGCGGCTCTAACCCTCGGACCCCCCCCGCGGCCCTAACCCTCGGACCCCCCCCGCGGCTCTAACCCTCGGACCCCCGCGGCTCTAACCCTCGGACCCCCCCCCCGCGGCCCTAACCCTCGGACCCCCCCCCCGCGGCCCTAACCCTCGGACCCCCCCCCCGCGGCCCTAACCCTCTGACCCCCGCGGCCCTAACCCTCGGACCCCCCCCCCGCGGCCCTAACCCTCGGACCCCCCCCCGCGGCCCTAACCCTCGGACCCCCCCCCCGCGGCTCTAACCCTCAGACCCCCCCCCGCGGCCCTAACCCTCGACCCCCCCCCGCGGCCCTAACCCTCTGACCCCCGCGGCTCTAACCCTGGACCCCCGCGCTCTAACCCTCGGACCCCCGCGCCTCTAACCCGCTGCCGGAAGAGGAAGCCTGGCGCTGGAGGGGGAGGGGCGGCAGCCCCGGGCCGGGCATCAGCGGAGGCTCAGCGGCTCCCCCGGGCGACCCCGCGCGTCCTGGTCCTGGGGGTCGGGAGAGCGGCCTCCTAAGGGGCTTTGGAGAGGCCGCCGCGCCCAGAAGTTGCCTCCGGGGGAGCCCCGGGCCGCAGCCCGAGTTGGAGGGGCGCTGCCCACCCTGGGGACCCGGAGCCCCGAGGCTTTGGGTCGAGGCCGGCCTGGGCGATTCTCGGCGGTTCGCCGCCAGGGAGTGGTGGGGAAAGAGTTAAAATCTGTCTCAGAAAAAGGGAAGACGAGCCCCATGGGAGTGTGAGCTGAGGCTGCAGTAATGGCCGGGCCTGCCGCACCGCACAGACCGGGCTGCACCGGGCCTGGACTCGGGGGGCCTCGGGCAGGCCGGGGTGGTCCCGCCTCGCCCCAGCGTGCTCCCCAGAAGGCCGGGTTGGCCACATAGTGCCCAAAAACGCGCATGGCGAGATGGGTCAGCAAAGAAGTGTGGCGGGTCGCGAGGTACCTCCCTGCGCCCGCGCTCCCGGCCCTCCTGGAAGAAGAGGCCCCGGCGCGGCTCAGCATCCCAGGAGGGCCGTGCCTCGCCTGGGCTCCGGCCTGGAGCTGCGGGTGACCCATGGTCATATGTTTAGGCACCGGCTTCCCTTTTCCACACGTGCCTTGCACATGACCTCTGCCCCTTCCTCCACCCCATGGTTCTGGCTCCTCATCTGCCAGGGTGAGACCTTCGGGCCCCTGCTGGGGGTTTTGGCAGGCGGGTTTCCTAGGCAGCGTGCACCCCTGAGCTCCCGTCTGCCCAGGCTCTGGCCCTAGAGTCCGGCTCCTAGTTAGATTTGGCACTGACTCAAGCCCTTGGGCCCCTTGGGCCCCTTGGGCAGGAGCATAATGCCTGGACTCTGATCCTGCAGGCCTGGGTGGCTCGGCTTCTAGGCATTTTGACCTGGGACATGTCTCCAGGGTAAGGCCAAGAGGAGGAACAAGTTGCTGCTGCTCTGATGGCCCAGCCCAGGTGTCACCTCCAGGCCCCAGGGAAGCTTCTCTCATGGGGCATTTATGAATGCCACAGGTCCCCGGGTGGGTTCCACTCCCTGGCCAGGAGGGCCTCCTCTAGACCTGCATCACGTCCAGAACAGGAACAGAACTCAAGAGTCACAAATGACACTGCCAGGGTCAGAGTTTCCGGGATGTACAGAGACAGCCTAGCCCATGCATTCCCGTTTTTGAAATTAAATTTGCCACTTTGGCTCTCACATCCTAAAAAGTGCAAGCAAAATTTCCCTTTAAAGAAAAGCCACCCCTCGTGGAGACTTCAGTGGGAGTTCTAGCATCAGGGGAACTGGTGTTCTCAGATCCTCCCGGGTTCCAGCACTCGCATTTCTGCCCACCTGCTGTATAACCTCAGTGGAGCGTCTTTCAGAAGGAAATGAAGAATCGGAACCCCTGGGCTCTGTTCCCATGCCCACTACTGACTCTGAATCACCTTTCCTGTTCATTTGGCATCTGTTTGCCTCAGCTTTTTTCCCATTTGGCTTTTTCTACTCACTATATGAGGCCCGACTGTAAATAAAATTGAGTTTATGTGTCTTAGCCACTCAGCAGGCTAATGTGAACTGGAGGAAAAAAAAAAATATGTAGAGACTTCTCGCCGCCTCTAAGAACTTAAAACTTAGGTTTGGAGTTCTTCTGAAAAAGCTGTCGTGTAGAAGGTAGGAGATGATTTGCCTGAGGGAAACAAGAGAGCCATTTTCAAAGATCTCAAGCCATTTAAATATGTAAAAGACTGTCCTGTGGAAGAACTAGTCTTGGGGTTCCCAAGCCTTTGGAGCAAGGGATGGCAGTTACAGGAAGATGGATTTTTGACTCATTATAAAGAATTCTCTTGGAGAATTGGAGCCCACCTAAGAGGGAATGAGCCACAGGGTATTCAAGTCTGGGACCAGAGGTTAGACCAGGTGACTTTGGGGTCACTTCCAACCTTAAACGAACAGCCTGTGAGATCAGGAGGCGTTAGCAGGGAAATGAAGTCATAACTTGGTTCCAACTTAGCTTAGGTTCACAGCTGAACTGGAAATGTGGGTGCCAGGGAGCCTGTTCCCTGAAGGGCCTCCTAGCCCAGGATCACATGCGGCCAGGCTGGGCTTCTCATTTATATGGGAGCCTGTGGGTCTCCTAGTTGCCAGAGACGCCAGATGGCTCCTCATGTATATCCAGACCATTTCCAAGCACTTTGTGAGCCTGTTTTCCAGTCTCGAGGAAACAAAAACCCTTCTCCCCATTTTGCAGAAGGGAACCTCGAGGCCCAGAGATGTTGAAGTGTCTTGTCCAAGCTGCATCATGATGAGTGATTAACAAAAAATGGGCTTTCTTCTTCAGACCCTTATGTTCTTCATAAGCCCAGATGGGGGAGGAGTGGACTTTGGTCCAGCAGGCACCCCCACCCCCACCCTGGCACCCTGCTGGGGTCTGGGACTTAGAGGGCAAGTGGTTAGGGTCTCCATATTTAGCGGGAAGCCGTCCTCCTCCAGGCCACTCCTTTCTCTCGGTGATTAACTATTAGGGCTCTTGGACCCTTTTGATATGTGATGAAAACTAGAGGCCCTCGGTGTGCTCGGGTGACTCCGTCGATTAAGCACCCGACTCCGATTCCTGGTTTCAGCTCAGGTCAGGATC